GTCACTAGTACAGCACTAGTGTATAGTGTAGTGTATAGCGTAGTGTATAGTAATGTAGTATATAGTGTAGTGTACTAGTACAGCACACCGGTGTGTTGGAGAGCAAAGCCACGAAACAGGATTTCTCCACATATCTGGCTGTCGCCTGATGAAGCTAGTTGTAATTACTGGCGAAACGTCGTACTCAGATTGTAAATGTTGTGGCTTGGCTCTCCAACACACCGGTGTGGCTGTACTAGTGACGAATTGGCCGCGCTCTGTTTACGTGACAACCCTTACTAGTTGGCTGTGTCGGGTGGTGGCGGGTTTAAGGACACATATATATGCGCGATCTAACCCCAAAAAAACTGTATTATGGATGCTATTGGTCGCGAAATCCTACGTGTTAAGTCAGCGTGATGTTTATAATGTCCTATGTTCGCTGATTCATGTGTTCTTCTTCCTGTAATTCCAAACGTGTGGCGCTCCATCAAATACGATGTGAATCACAGAGCATTTGTGGAATGTGACCAAGACCATGCCATTTCTGAGTGCTGCCCGTGTGAGTGCAGCTGTGGATTAATTCTACCCCAGACAGTCATTTGAACACAATCTATTAGAGGATGGCAGAAACCTCCTCGTGGACAACATTTATTTGCCTCCCGTGATATCGCGTCGAACTTTGCACCGCAGCATTTTATTTGCCCTTGGCTACGGCGCTGTTGTGTGCTGCAATCCACTCTTCAAAGGGACATTCGAGCGTTGCTACATATCCAAATTGCCCAAAGCCTAATGGTAAAATAAATAACAAATGAGTTTCACTGCACCCATTGCGGAAAGATTTGTATGCAGAATTTGAGCAACGACCATTAAACTCATAAATGGTTCCATTCCACATTGGGTGCTTTTCACATCGCATGTAATATGCAAATATGCAACGGCAATACTACCGTGTAAGTTTTTTTTTGTTGCGGTTGTTCTGGACAGCTCTCCGATGTAATTTCGTGTTGTGCGTTGTTCAGCACACTTGTCCAACGTTTCGCTCCCAGCACGCCGCGTCGTAACGTTGGATGTCACGCCAACATAGGGAGGCAGCTCGACCCGAAAACACATCATAGACTTGTGCAATGCGTAAACTCGCAGGCCTATTAATTAAGACACCATTGAAGAAATGCACTTGTAAATCAACATTGAAAACTCCTGTTTTTAGAACAGATTTGTGTTTAGTTTGTGGTCCTTCCCCCGCATCTTCGATCGGCATGGTTGGCTACGTACGGTGCGAAATACGTTTATAACGACCCACAATTACTAATCGGCTTTGTCGGGTGTGGTGGGTTTAACGACACATGTATATTTCCACGATCTAACCCAAAAAAAACACTTTATTAGAGACCCACGCTTGCTCACAGATGAACGAATATTAAGAGCCGAATTTTATTGTAAAAATATTCCACTCAGTGCACTCCGACCCCTGCGGTTGGGGCACGGATTGTAATCTCGGGACACGCTGGGTGTCGTGCAGCAACGACGCACGTGTGGAGCGGAGATTGCATCGGCTCAGCGGGGATAGGGGAGTCCCATCCTCACGCACAAAGGATGTGCAGGCAATATCTCCGTGGGGTGACGCTTCTGTCCAGAGCTATCAAAGCCACCATAGGAATATTGACTCATCCCCATGTAAACACCCCGAACGAAAATTGTATTTCTCGAGAGAGCAAAACAGGACCTGTCGACATTGTCACGTTAACTATTTCATCTAAATTACGATCCCCATTGTCTTTATCTCCTGAGTGTGAACACTCCCATCGCTTGCAAGATTTCTGGCCAACAAGGAAGAGTAGGCCTTCGAGTTAAGGCCCTTCTGCCAGTAGCGGTGCGAACAAAACATCACAGAGCTCCGCCGTTACCGTACGGACGTTTTTGTAACGTCAAATATTTATTGTGTAAAACAGAACCAGGATTTCGGTGCATGTTAACATGGGGCGGTTTGTATATTTGTACAATAGACACCCTATATATGTTTTCAACATTTCTTTAAAATTTATTTGTAATTGTATATTCCATACATTTGTAAAAAATTTTTACGATTTAACATTAATTTATGATTATGTAATATATTTATTTTATATCTCATGTGACGCAGTTGCTTTTGTTCTGGTTTCTATTTGCAGCAATCCCGTACTTTATTTTATTTGTTTGCCCCTTGCCATTGTGTTGACCCAGGTCACTCGTGAAAATTAGACTATCCTGGTCTCCTGAGTACTCACCTGCAGGTTAAACAAAATAAACTTGAACTTGGTGGTGCAGTTAGAACACGTTGCTCACCATGAGCAAGTTGCAAGTTTTAATCCTGGTTGAAGGTTGACAGTTCATCAGGCTTCCAGGGTTGATCAAATGTATACGACTCTGTATTAAGTCAGCAGTGACCTGTCCTGTTAACTTTCCACTGTGAACTCGGAGCCACCACCACAGCCACTATTGGATGAGCATCACCCCATTACCGTTCTCGTTTTAGCAGACAGACTTTTACTTGACGTCACGTAAATTAAGTACCGTGAATAATTTTGCACAGAGTGGTATAAGATGTGTTTCCCGTTTGCTGTGACATGTTTCAGAAACATGGTGATACGGAAAGAGGAAAACGTGACTTGAATAACTTACACATGTTAAAGACGTCATTCCCAAATTTAAGTAAGTTGGCTTGGGGAGGACAAGTCGCTAGAAGGACGGATGGCAAATAATTATGGAGCGTGAGAGATTGACAGCCAAGGAATGGAATGCAATCCGAGGTTACATCCACTGAGGAAGAGATGAAGCAATTAAACCACCTCATGTGCAGATACGAGGCGGACTGTAACATCACAGAACCATGAAAGATTATGATGACTCGAGAAGGCTTTCATCCGGAAATGTGTTTTGTCATGGCGGATGCTGATGATGATGTAAAATTTGGATAAGATTACAACGAATGTTTAATTCAGCAAAGAAAACAGTAAACTCACAGAAATTATTCTGCTTGGGCTGTAGCACAAGACATTGTGATAAAAAAAATTTGAGGCAGAAGTGGTTCTGAAAAGATGAGAAATTAACTCTAAATCCCGAACCTAAAACATCACCCATAGCCTATTGAGATAACACGAATGGCAGACCACACCGTTTCCATATTGATGTCAAGTGTTATTTTCAAAACAAATTAAGTATTTGACAAGCGTTGCTCTTCACCCAATGTTCAAGACATTGTCCTGGTTTCCCATCTCTACAAAGGGGGCAAATTGGCATTGCGACGTGGTTCAGCTGATGCTCTTAGCTGACTGCCACGTAAACAGACTGACTCTGTAATTGGAGAAATGGCTATAAATTGCACGTAGCCTTCCATGCAGAACTCAGCATCCAATACAGATATTGGCTGGCTTTTATACATTTATCAGAAAGCCCTTTTTTAAATTAATCATCGGTTAATTTTATCATTTATGGTGTGTACGCTCTCTCAATGCTTCACACCTGAATCTGCATCTGCCAGTGCACTTAATGTAACGAAACATGGAGAAAGAAAAACATGAGCATATCTTCACGTTTTTATATTCTTGGGTCTTTCGGTAAAGTCCCATATATAGGTTAAAATAAAATAATAAAAAATAACAAAAAACTACGACTTTTCGATCGCAGCACAAGCGGTCGTCATCTTCACGATTTCACTCTTCCAAAACCACCAGATTTGACAAACGCAAAACGGCCGCTTCGATTTTTTGTTTTCTGGCTCTACCACGGAAACTTCCACCCAGTATGTCAAAACCTGACTGTGTGTCAAAACCTCACTGTGTGTCAAATCCTGACTGAATGTCAAAACCAGTCCAGAGTTTGCCCGTCTTGAAGCAATGCTGCTGCAAATGATGCACCCCCAGAAGGCGGTTCGTCTGATGGGTTGCGCAAGAAATATTATTCTTCACGTGAAGAAAACAGATTCGTGAACGAGACGTCTGCCTATTAACTTTGTGAGAAATAACGTTACAAAACGCGGCAGCGTTTTTTTTTTCCCCAGAAACATTCTGACGCCTAATAGCAGCTGCTGTGCGATTTGCCAAGCCCGCAATTAAAACAACACCAACAAGGGGAAGACACCAACTGATGCCATTGCTTTAAGGGAGGTGAGTTTTACAGCGACACAAAACAGCCGTCGACTCAGCATTTCAGCCGGGGTGAATGGCGACACAAAAAAAAAGGAAATTAACTCTGGTAATTCCACTGCCCCAATAGCAGGGGATGAATGGCTTCCAAGTCTTGTGCCGTTCCGGCTTCCAGTAAAAAACTTAAAAGGGCACGCGGCAGTCGTGCGTGCAGCTTTTCATAGTAAGGACTTGTATCGGTTACCACATTCTTCACGATGGCTGCCGCTCAAGTCTCACCTTTCCCCGTTTAATATTGTACTCGATCGTTTGCATGAGAGAATATATTTTTTCTGTTTGTTCCAGCCGTCGTTTTGGTCTCGATACGCTGGGGGGGGGGGGGGTCTCTCAGTGTCGGGGCGTTGAAGACGTTCGGCTCGTCGAAAGTGTCAATCAATGTCGTGTGCCTTGCATTGAAGGGGAGAGAAGGGAGCCAAACAGTGAGGTGGAAGCGCAATTGCTCTCTGTTATAACCCGTTTAGAAGTGCCTTCTGTTTCTCTATTTACTCTCTTCCAACTTGTTCAGAGTTCGCCCTGGGAATTGATCGAGTGCCATAAAAGAACTCCATAACCTTGCTGGAAACGCAACACAATCATACGCAACGTCGCTGTGCGACAACGCATCGCTCTTCACATCACAATATCCAACTGACATGTATTACATGTATTACTCTTTTCACTTGCAATGGTTTCACATATTCTACCAAATTATGAAATGAGTAATTATTTAATAATAAGTCATTATTTAATAACTTACGATCGGTCACTTTAAAACGTGAATGTCACCTGGATGATAAGACAATAACGGCTTGACATACCTTAACGATGAATGCGTGTGACATTATATTTCTAACTTACCTTTTTTTATCCTTCGGTCACACTTTACGATAAAATCCACAGCTTCGCGTGTGCGTGTGTGTTTCTCTCTGCTCGATATCCAAGCGTGTTCGTGCAAGATCAGTTCCCCCCGAAGTAAGTAAGCACCGATACGCTTGTGTTAAATAAAGTCCTCCGTGTTGTGGGGAGAGCGAGAGTCGGCATCCAAGGCGTCAGGAGAAAATCCGCGTCACGGCTCCATTGGTAACCGGGCTGAGAAATATAAACAGTTTGATTGAACCTCGGTCACACCACCACCACACCACATAGAGCCGGCAGCAGCCACCCACACCATCGTGTTTGCTTTGGTGACGGTCAATTCGGTTTGTATCGCAAGAGTGAGTGTGCACAAAGGGGAGTGGGGGGTGGAAACGGAATGGTCAGTTTCGATGGGCACCCTTTTTTGTTGTTGATAAACCACAATGAGGTACATCCCCTTACTTTAAACAATCCTTGGCAGGCGAAAGATTATCTCGGCAAAATCCTGACGGACAAAAAATATATTCTACCATTTTCAACCGTCACAAATACTGCTTTAACAGAATAAACACGTATGATAAATGGCTTATATATATATTTTTTGTGTTTAAATGGACGCTGTGTTATTTTGGCAGCGTCGATGTACAAACACCGTGTCAGGCAGCAACTCCACTGTTGCCAAGACACAACGCAATCTGTTGACGAGCGCCCGGGAGAATGAAATGGGGTGTGAATTGGAGTGTCCCTTAACGATGCACGTGCGGTAAGATACGTTTGCTGTTAGCGATGCGTTGCACTTTTAAACGTTGTGTTGAAACAAAGGCCAAATGTACAAAGTGTTTCGTCGATTAAGGTGAGCATTGGGATGCCACTCGTGTGTGCAGGCAAGACTGAACCGGCAGCAGACACGCTGCATTCACGTGGCACAGGCCAGTTGCTCCATAGGACTACCGTTTGTTAGCAACTCATGTAACTTCAACTTACATGCTGATTTAAAGCTTTCGTGACTGCAGGGATTCATATTCTTGGTTCTTTCGGGTAAAGTCACCACGTAGAAGGGAAACAATAAAATAATAAAAATATAAAACAACTTACATGTGCAGCCACTGCTGGATGAGGGCCTCCGCGTGCTGTTCACGCTTGTGGGGGTTTGTTTGACCATCGTGAACCAACAAGGACTAAACATAAGCAAAAGATGCGTGTGTTGCACGGTCATAAGGTTTGTTTAATTGTTACATTGATCTGTACCGAGACACCTAAACAGTACACATTCGACGTGTGTATAAGACTAAGGTCTGCGGGCATCGGCTCCACTCATTTGAAGTGCAGTGAGTTGAAATGGGTTTTTAGACTCTAAACACCTGTTGTAAACTGCACACTATGAAGCTTTTAAGAAACGCTTTAATGACAGATTGAAATGCGCCTCTAATGCACAGCATAAGCTTTACAACACACCACAGGTCTTTTTTGGGGGGGTGAGTGGGGTTGCAAGTGTAATTTAAAACCATAATGTATCATCATAAAGTGTGTGGATTACATCGAAATAGGTTCTAACGACAGCCAGTGAGAATGTGTATCACCGTTGCATTCACGTAATTGCACGATATAAATACACTTTTAAAAAATCTGACTCAAAAAGCCATTATCAGCTTCGTGATAGTTAACTCGAGTGCGCTCCGTTGCAGGTCTGCTGAACTTTTTCTTTGCTTTAGTTTGTTATTATTGGTATCGCTTTCAGTCGGAAACTTTTAAATAACACCCGTAAACATTTAACACTCTTGGCTGTCGACGCTGACGTTTTTTTTATCAGCCGCTGTTACCATTTTGCGAGATAAGCCTCAAGGATTCCCTGATAAGCGAGTCACCCTTTGTGATCCTCCACCCCGCGGCGAGTGCCTGTTTCGCTCTTCAACCGGACCGCCGTGTGACGCCTCTCATATCGCGACGCAACTGCCACAAACTGCACGGTCTGGTGACTTAACAAGAAGTTAAACAGGTGAGTTGGCTCTCATTGCTCTAAACATCTCGGCAGCGCAACACTATCATTCTTGAGGAGCTGCATCACCGCTGTGGGAATATACGCACGTTGGTTCGAGGACTTTGTATTGTGAGCTCGATTTGTACGTGGTGTGTACATGTGCATTCATGGACAGACAAAGGAAGGGAGAGAGAGAGAGCTCAAAGTTCCACGGGAAGACAGGGCTCAAAGTTCTGTGCGCCCAGAAAAATAGGCTGCATGTTCTATGCTTAAACCACAGGTACGTCGTTTGAGTATGAAAAATTGGTAATTCACTGATTTTAAAAATACGTAAAAAAACACTGCTTTGTTTTGAAAGACTGTGTTCAAAAGTGTTGACTGTATTGTTAAATGCGTGTCCTCATATGCCTAAAAACTACGTCTTGTTTTGGTGAATAATATCCTGTATTCAAATGGTCTATCACTTTTAAGTTATTTTAAGTGTGCTAGACGATGGATTGCTATTTGTAATACGTTTGAATACGTTAATGTCTTGCATTTGTGAAACTGACAAATAATCCATGTATGTTTATGGCAAATGATGCCAATACTGTAACTGTGGTACTTATGCACATGGCCTCGTGACTTCAAAGGGAACCTATCTTGGCACAAGTATTACGCCGGCGTAATTGTTGATGTTCTTACATGTACACATTCTTGCGTGTGCCAGTGGTTAAATATTTGGTGTGAGAGAAGACTTCATAATTTAATCAGATAAATACGCACTTCACGTTAAATATGTAAGTGGAAATAAGAAGTTGGGAGTCTCGAAAAGAAGAACGTTTGAAAAATTGCTCCTGTGCATGTTGAATGCATTGCATAGGTTGCACAGCGAGTTGATCGGGCCCGCATTCAGTGGAGGAAAATTTAGTGGCCAGTAAATATCCAGCCAACATAATAGCACCATTGTGCGTCTGTTGTGTGTAATTTACGGCCAAACTCTGAAGTGAGTCTTCATTTAAAAAGCTGCACGAGGAGGGGCCGCGGGGGCTGCCACGGCCCCCATCGGCAGGGAAAAATGCCTCCAATGCCCTCAATCCTTTAATGCCCCGCACATTCACAGGCATGAAAACCGATAGTGGGCTCTGAGTGTGTCTGGGACAAACAAAAAAGCTCTTTTGCTGCACGGTGACTTCTCGCGTGTGAATCGACTTGCGCTCCTTTCCCGACATCTGCAATGGGTTTAACTTCAAAGGAAATAAAATTAATGCGTAATTAAATATCGGTCCCACGTCCATCATTAACATGGGCCAATGTTAACGACGAGTGTGGGTGGAAGACGTTGGGTATTGTGCACTCCCGCAAGTGCAGAACCTTGCTTTATGTTTATGCATTCACATAAGGTGATTTTATCACATATAGTCGTATGAGAGGAGCGGTGGCACAGTGATTAGGGTACTGTGCTACAAACCGGGTGACGGGTTCAATTCCCAGCCACGGCTAACATCAGTGGCGAGTGACATCTGAACATATCCTGCTCCCCCCCCCCCCCCGATCTGCCTTCCCCAAACTTCATTAACCAGGGTGGTGAAGTATAGTCAAACAAACCTCATGACCAGGCCTTCATCCAGAGATTAATTTACAAAGGGTAGAATATAACACATATGCAATGACGCCGACACACGCTTTGCTATTCGGAGCCCTTTTATTCGGACGCAGCATCAACGACTACGCCCGGGACTTCATTCTTGATGCTCGAAGCTCGTCTTCTTCCCAAACGTCCCCTCCTTTGACACCCCCTGGAGCCCCCTTTCTGTAAACTTCGCTCACCCCCCCACTTCCATTCATCCAATCCTCGCCGTTCTCCTCCTCTAACGGTTGTCAACCGTCGCACCGACCGTCCACCCTTCGCTTCCCTGACTTTTACGTAAAAATAAATATCCCCTCGAATGCCCTTTTTTGAACCTTCGCCCCTCGACGAATCGCTCTGCACCGATCCCAGGCACATGGGTGACCGTCCTGACTGTCCGTTTGCACGCACGCTTGTTTTAGCTAAGTGGTCTTATTTGCCTCGGTCGTTGCACGTGGATAGTTGCATGCGTTTAAAGTTTTCCAAGCACAAGGGCATTGGAAGATTTTTTGTGTTTTAATTCGCATCACTCCAATGTCGATTCTTTTACCGAGTGTTACCAAACTCGCATCGTAATCACCATGGCACGCACTTTAAACGTAGTTGTAATTAAAATGAGAAACACGGGTTGGAGGGATTTCAAAGCCAGCGATGTCACCGTCTCGCACAGCCCTTCGATGTGACAATCCATCGCTCGCACCTCCGCACAAGCTGATGAGTCAACGTCCTCTCGGGCACTTTCCATTCCTTGGCTGTCACTTCGTCACGAGTATTAACCACCGCCCATCATCCCTGTTTTTAGTGCTTACTCGTTTTTTAACAGGCAATGCGATGTCTCTAAATTATGTATGCCCTCCAATCATTGTATTCCTCTTTCCACCTCGCAATGTTATTCCAAGCATGCACCTCACCGAATGCTTCTTTAGACACCTTTGAGCTTGTGTTCCATTTTCTTCATCAATGTCCACGTTTCAAAGGGCCATGTGTCCTGTTGTGTTGCCAGAACAAAGGAGGAAAACCTATTTCCATATTTTGGTACTGGCAAAGGAGGTCCCATGATGACAAATGCGTTCTCACGTTTGTTTTCACAACATCCTCAACAACCTTGGAGCTTCGCGCCAGAGAAAATGTTTTACAGTGCAGATAGATGAGCAAGAATCATTATTATTATTATTTACAAGTGGGGGATAAGCCTGATCAAGCAGTGGCTCACACAAGGCCCTGTTGTGTGGCGTTGAGCGTCCTGCAAACTCGCCCGCGCAATGAGCGACACTTCTGAGCGGGCCCTCTTTGGCTTTCGTCCAGGCTTTCAGTCGCGGAGGAGTAATGGGGGACGAGTTGGGATTAAACTCCGCCTCTAACAGGATTACGTTCCTTTTCGCTCTCACTCTTGTGCAGGACTTCGTGCCGAATAAGTCGCTCGCCCCGATTTGGAGTTTCCCACGACGTGCGGTCCGCGTCAGGCGGCCGCTCTGTGGTGCTCCCTTGCAGGACGCGCAGGTGAGACTCTATCGCTTTTTTTTATGATTTCGAGCAACTTTCACAGCACGTTCGTGTGGCTCGCTTCGGTGAGTCAATAATCGGGAAGCGCAGGTGAGGTCAACGATGTATTGACATTATTGTAGTCAAGCACAGAGGTGGCTTGCTTATTGCTACACAATGTAATTAATAATAACAATTTACAATCCTTTGTGAATCCTCCATTGCATGAAGCCCTCCCCATGCTCTGTGCATCACGGGGCTTGAATTAACCGTACTTCACCACACTGGTCAGTGCAGGTTTGTGAAGGGGCGGCCCAGGGCCGATTCAGATATCACTTGTCACTGATGGCCGAGAAGTGAACTCAGGTCATCGCGTTCACGGTGCAGTTCGCTAACCACTGCTTCACCGCTCCACGTGGCGTGTTGCTGCTGCACACGCACAATCCCTTCAACGTGATAATTGGCACTTCACATTATATAAGTTCCTGCATTCTATTGTCTATATTTTCCCCACACGTATGACACGCGTAAACCAACCGTGTGTGACCGTATCTTGGCCAAGTTTTATATAAATCGACTACGAGTGTGTAATTCTGTTGACGTATGTCAGCATTGGTCATGTTAGAGTTACTTACGCTGGGCTTTGCTTGAAATTGCTCCAAGCCAAAAATGTAAACAGTTGAAGCTCGATGCAGTGTCGAGTGTGAATTAAAAAAAATACTTTCTCATTTGTTTATTATGCCTGTAGCAAGATATAGTAATAGGTTTTTACCCTTCTATCTGGCACCAAAACTGACACCTTTATACAAGGCAAAGGAGGTCTCATAATGTAAATGCTTACCCCGAGCTCTCAATACTCTGATAGTGCGCTGTTTTTGAGTTGTACGCCTTTTGGCGTCATCTGGTCCAACACCAGTGAAGACTAGGCTCTAAGAAAAGCCGTCTCGGGTGTGGACCAATCAATTTCAAGGACAGTGCATATTATTATCAGAGTTGTCTCTTTTTGTTTGCATTTTGACTGCTTGTGTTGTGGTTATTGCAAACATGATCCTCTTTTCAAAATATAGATGGACTAGTCCTGGGCAAACTGCCAAATCGCTGCGCGTGGTGCTAACGTTTTTTTATAAATAAATAAATGCGCCGTTTAAAAATTAATTTATGCAAACACACCTGAAGATGACCGTTTGAGTTATGGTCGAAACGTCGTGAGAATTTTTATTGTTTTGTATATATTAGATTATTTTGTTGTTTCTCTTCAACGTGACTTTACCGAAAAAACTAAGGATATGATCCCTTGTATAAAGGTGTCAGTTTTGGTGCCAGATAAAAGGGTAAAAACCTATTACTACTACTTTGTCATTTGTTTATTTTCAGGTACAACCAAGCAGCAAGTGGAGTTTGATATATTAAACAAATAAGCACAATGGCAGCCCTCAACGAAACGGACATGAGCTACGACTACTACGAGATTGGCGTAAAGCTGCCGGAGGAGCCTGTAGCCACGTACGCTCGGGTCAAACCCATCGCACAACTACATCAGTCGCAGCGTGTCACGTGAACGTCGCATGTAACTTACTGTTACACACACCCAATATTGTGATGCATGTAACTTACTGTTACGCACACCCAACATTGTGATGCATGTAAATTACTGTTACACACACCCAATATTGTGATGCATGTAAATTACTGTTACACACACCCAATATTGTGATGCATGTAACTTACTGTTACGCACACCCAACATTGTGATGCATGTAACTTACTGTCACGCACACCCAACATTGTGATGCATGTAGCTTACTGTTACAGACACCCCACATTGTGATGCATGTAACTTACTTTTACACACACCCAATATTGTGACGCATGTAACTTACTGTTACACACACCCAACATTGTGATGCATGTAACTTACTGTTACACACACCCAACATTGTGATGCATGTAACTTACTGTTACGCACACCCAACATTGTGATGCATGTAACTTACTGTTACACACACCCATACCAGTGTATGGCAGACTGTTGGTGCAAGTGTTGACAAAGATCGCCCGTATAGCTCTTCAACAGGATATTGGGGCAAGTGCTGTTAGTGAGCATCTATGAATGGCGGCACGGCACACGAGGGGGTGGGTGGCCAGGACCACGCTCGGTCGCCTTTGTCTCCCCAGTGGCGATGTTTACACACCGCACCAGGTACTCATTTTAGGCTGAGTCTACCTAGGGGAGGCCCAGGACCGGTTCAGATGAGCGTCACTGGTATATGAACACACTGCTCCACACACACCGCACCGTACTAGCACAGCACATAGAACACAACAAATGCTACACATACAAAAACAATTTACACGTAGGCTTTCGCGACCAATATTATCCATAATGGAGTTTTGTTGGGCAAGATCGCGTAAATACAAACATGTCGTAAAACCTGCCACCACCTCACATACAATTGTAAATGTTGTGGGTTTACTCTCGAACACACCGGTGTGCTGAATTAGTAACTAATTGTCATGTTTCGTTTACGCGACAACCCTTACTAATTAGCTGTGTCGGGCGGTGGTGGCGGGTTTAACGACACATTTATATATACGCGATCTAACCCAACAAAGCCTCTTATGGATACGAAAGCGTGGTAAGCAGATAACAGCGGTTTTGTGTTAAACTGACCTTGCGTGTGCGTTTTCTTTCAGGCCCGAGCCACCGTGTGAACCCAAGTTCAGGGGAGACTTCCTCCACCCTTGGGTTGGCGTGGCATCGGTAAGACCACCAAACGATAGGCGGTCTCACGCTCTCCGATGTCTTTTCTCGGATTGTGCCGCACTGATTTCTCTTCCTAAAATAAACTCCCCCGGGCACGCGGGGCGAAACATCGGACAATCGTACCGAACGACACGGTGCAAGCTGAAAGCACATCGGAGAGCTGTGCGGCAGCAGCGACTGCGAAAACCCCACTTAGCAGTGAAAAATCACTCGTGAAAAGTACATTCGCTTCATGTCGTCGATTTTCATTATGAGACCTCCTTTGCCAGTACCAAAATATGATAATAGGGTTTTCCCCGGTTTTTTTTGGCAACAAAACAGTTGTGTTAAGATGTTAAAACACCAAACTGAAACCTTTTACAAGGAATCATGTCTGCATTAACCATAATGCTTGTGGTCAGAATGCAAACAAATAACAAACTCTGATATTATATGTATTGTCTTTGAAACTGATTGGTCCACACCAGAGACAGCTTTCTTTTGAGCCTCGTCTCAAACGGTGTTAGACCAGAGGACGCCAAAAGGCGTCGATCGGTTTAAAAAATGTGTTTGGTATTATGGAACGTGCTTGTTTATCAATTTGTTTACACGGAGTGTGTATTTCTCGATAAGATTTTGAGCTCAAATGTGCTTCGCCCACAGCTCGTTTGCACAATCGGACTTTCCTTCATTGTCAAGCGACAACAGTTTTGTAAGAATTGCTCCAAAGGATATCCGGGTCTGTTGGCGTGAGTACTCGACTGCCCAATATATTCAACATGACGCGACATTTTCTTGTTGTGATGTACATTCGGTGTGACAAAAAAAGGCATTCCAGTATTGTGTGGTATTTAACACGTTAGTATGTTCCTAGTGATGTCAATTTGTGGTCCATCACGTAACTAATAACAAGGTTTCAGTGTAATTACACCAGGTAAAATTAAACTAAACTCTTTACTATTTTTATCTTCACTATTTTGTTTACCAGGTAAAGCCGACTGAGTGACTACCGCTTTTTCAGAAGCGATCTGGCTACAAATTATAGCTCAGCGAAGTGGCATATCATATCTAAGAATTCATAGTAGCAGCCAAGTACTCTAAACGCGTGTTTCTATATGTGGAGGGAAAACCCGGATGACTCGAAGAAAAATCCACGTGACCACGGAGAGAACATGCAAACTCCGAATATACAGGCATGAGGGTCGGGACCAAACGCACGACCTCCTGCAAACCAGGCAAGGGAGATAACATCCCGCCACCACAAGCGAGAATAAGAACAAAGGCACGTAATTTAGGGGCCACATTCATAATTACGTAAATCATAATCAGTTATATCTAACCAAATAAAAATAAAACTATAATCCATTGCTCAAAGCCTATCCATGAAATTGTGGCACTTGGATTTCTGCAAATTTGTTCTGCGGTATCAAAAATATTTGACAGAATTTTTTGCTCATAAAACACTTTTTGAAAGGGACTGAACAGTTATTATCACTGGACTAATGAACTTGAACTATCACTATGTAAAAAGTGAAGTGTCAAAAGCTGGTCCTGTCTCTTATCGAGAAATATCTGCACAATAAGATGATGTCATTAATTTTGAATCATAAAGTCTGGTATAATATATTTAATTGTTATTGCATTGAATTGTATACACAATTGTATATGTATAGCCCATTTTTTGTCAATCCATTGCTGGATGGGAACGTCCTCATTTTGTGTGGGTCATGGCGGTTATCCGAACATACTTCACCTTGCTTATCAGTGCAGGCTGAAGGTGGGGAGCATACACATTGAAGCATAGTATAGTACAACAATGGATTTTTACATACTGCCACCAATGTAGCTCTGTAGCAAGCCGACCACATCTGTTTTATGCACTGCGCTTGCCCATCCAAGCACTGTCCAGGCTCCACCCTGCTTAGCCGACGAGATTGGAAATTCCGGGTGATATTGTCATAGCCATACATATAATTGGCAGGCTGAACATTAGCCCATCATCTTTCTGGGGTCGATAAGGTGAATACCACATTATGGGGAAGTCAACGTTCGCTGTTTTATGGAAAGACTCTCTCCCCATTGTAAGAATATGGAATTTCCACTGCTGGCTCAGGGCTGTATGTACGGTATGTTGACCTTTTTTGCACCGTGCGTAGCCAACCGTACTAATTGGAGGTGCTGTAAACAAGAGGTAAGCACCGCCTCGATGCTAACTTAAATAGGAAATTACTTTGACTTTTGAAATGTAAGCGTTCAAAATGCATCATTAGACCTCCTTTGCCAGTACCAAAATGTAATAATAGGGTCGAGGCTCAAAAGAAAGCCGTCCCTTGGTGTGGACCAATCAGTTTCAAGGACAATGCATATATTATCATAGTATGTTTTTTGTTTGCATTTTGACTGCAGGTATTGTGGTTAATGCAGACATGAATCCTTGTAAAAAGGTTTCAGTTTTGTTGCCAGAAAAAAGGGGAAAACCCCTATTATTACATTTTGGTACTGGCAAAGGAGGTCTAATGATGTAGATGCTCACCCCGAGCCCTCATTACTTTGATAGTGCATTGTCTTTGAGCTGTACGCCTTTTGGCGTCATCTGGTCGAGCACCAATTGGGTCGAGGCTCAAAAGAAAGCCGTCCCTTGGTGTGGACCAATCAGTTTCAAGGACAATGCATATATTATCATAGTATTTTTTTGTTTGCATTTTGACTGCAGGTATTGTGGTTAATGCAGACATGAATCATTGTAAAAAGGTTTCAGTTTTGTTGCCAGAAAGAGAGGGGAAAAACCCTATTATGTTCAAAATGCCTTAGTATAAACTGAGTGGCAGCACGGTAAGGACCAAGGTTTGTGGATTTCGCACCCAACTCAACTTTGTAGAAATGGACACGATAATACATTTCAACAAAGATATGTACCAAGATTTCTAGTGAAAAATAGGTGCTTCCATGATCAAGGTCGTTGCTTACAAGATTTTCAAACATTACGCAACATTGAATATTTTATTTCAGTTACTATCTAACTTCAGTAAAGATATTTCTGAACTAAAAACAGATTTTGTGCTATCTGCCAGCCACTTGCAACTGAGACTGGAATTCGGAATCATGGAGTTCAGGGTACATTTTACATGCAAAACTTTACATCTAAATTATAATAACAATCATCACCAATGTGAGCATCCTTCAGCTACTACCATATTGTTTGGATTATAAGGCACACCGTATCTTTCCCCTGAATTTTAAAGTAAAAGTTGCGGTTGCGTGTTATAATCTGGGATATGTGAAACGTTATTGACGCTGAGCATCTCGTAATCCATAGAATAGGGTAACATCCATGGAACAAACAAAAAAAAACATCAAAGTAGCTTAGCACTCAAAGGAGCATGCTCATCTCCAGTCCGAAGCTCAGAGGCAGTGGTGGAAATTCTGCATTCCTATGGCAAGGGTCAGTTTTTTTTTCCACGGGAAGACCACTACTGAGTTCCCATCAAGAGGGACGTCCGATGTTGTGGGAAGTCAGCAGGAGGAAGGAATGAAGGCCGGAGTCAACCCATGGCCGGAATTTGAACTCTTACCTTTCCGGTTTGTGCAGCGGGCAGTCTAACCTCTGTGATGCTTGGATGTAACCGGACCCTCTGGAGTTAAGCTTACAGCGCTCGGGAAACAAAACAATACCTACACCCCTATCATTACTGTAGGTTCGAGCGAGTTAATTCTTTCGTTTTTTTGTGGAAACTGTCATAGCAATGAACCAAAAAAAAATCTATCCCAAGACACTCACACACCATGCCTACATTAAAACAAAGACAAAGATCCCCTTTATAGCCTTTACAGACTGTAGGAGAAAGTGCTGATAGCGAGCACCTATATGATGGTCGGCACGACACACAAGGGGGTGGGTGGCCAGGACCACGCCCGGCCGCATTTGTCTCCCTCGTGGCGATGCTTACACACCGGACAAGGTACTGATTTGAGGCTGAGTCGACCTAGGGGAGGCCCAGGACCGGTTCAGATAACGCACGCGCACACACACACACGCGCGCGCGCATTCCTTCCACCCACCGCATTGAACGCTCACGCGAATCCCAGAGTGTTTTTCCTGCGATGTGCATGATAATAAGCCTGAGCAGACTAGCAAATGGGTATGCAGAGAAAAAAATCCTCACCAGCTGTGATGACATAAAAAATATAAATATAAAACAATCCATCATTTTGAACTCTGCAGGCCCGTCCACTTCCTGGAAAACAGAAGCAATCGCAAGCTATTCGCGGCCGGCTTTGGGGTCGTGCTTTGCACCTTGTGCCGGGTGGCCTTCCTGGACTCCCCCCTGCCCTTCGCCACAGGAGACAGCAAGGAGATAAAAGGTTCATCGATTGACCGTCCAGTGATCCTGGACTTGATTTACACTTAAAACACGACTATGTTTTACTTTATCGAGCGACATTAGCTCTTTTTCAGAAGCGACCTGGGCCACAAATGATAGACCGACGCGAAGTGGCTTATCATGTGGAGATTTGTAGCGGCCGAAGACTCTGAGCGCGTTTATTTCTAAGTGTGGAGAGGAACAAAAACAGTGGGGCCGGCGAAAAATCCATGCAAATTCCAAATATATTGGCATCAGGGTTGGGATCGAACCCAGGCGCTCCTGTGTGCCAGGCGAGGTAGTCAGGATCTCGCCATCACGGCGTCCTGAACACTGATGCCACAGACACAGGGATGCTACCGTGGTGTAATGGTTAAGTCGCCGGTTCAATTCGATCTCCGGGCACGGCAGTTGAAATAATGGGAAACAAATTTAAATACCCCCCCCCCCCCCCCCGCCTCTGTCCACATGGCAGTTTCTTCCTGCTTGTTAATTGGCTGAAAACATCTTACAGTGAGGGAAAAAAGTATTTGATCCCCTCCTGATTTTGTACGTTTGCCCACTGACAAAGAAATAATCAGTCTATAATTTGAATGGTAGGTTTTATTTGAACAGTGAGACACAGAATAACAACAACAAAATCCAGAAAAACGTATGTCAAAAATGTTATAAATTGATTTGAATTTTAATGAGGGAAATAAGTATTTGACCCCTCTGCAAAACATGACTTAGTACTTGGTGGCAAAACCCTTGTTGGCAATCACAGAGGTCAGACGTTTCTTGTAGTTATCCACCAGGTTTGCACACATCTCAGAAGGGATTTTGTCCCACTCCTCTTTGCAGATCTTCTCCAAGTCATTAAGGTTCGAGGCTGACGTTTGGCAACTCGAACCTTCAGCTCCGTCCACAGATTTTCTATGGGATTAAGTCTGGAGACTGGCTAGGCCACTCCAGGACCTTAATGTGCTTCTTCTTGAGCCACTCCTTTGTTGCCTTGGCCGTGTGTTTTGGGTCATTGTCATGCGGGAATACCCATCCACGACCCATTTTCAATGTCCTGGCTAAGGGAAGGAGGTTCTCACCCAAGATTTAACGGTACATGGCCCCGTCCATCGTCCCTTTGATGCGGTGAAGTTGTCCTGTCCCCTTAGCAGAAAAACACCCCCAAAGCATAATGTTTACACCTCCATGTTTGACGGTGGGGATGGTGTTCTTAGGGTCATAGGCAGCATTCCTCCTCCTCCAAACACGGCGAGTTGAGTTGATGCCAAAGAGCTCCTTTTTGGTCTCATCTGACCACAACACTTTCACCCAGTTGTCCTCTGAATCATTCAGATGTTCATTGGCAAACTTCAGACGGGCATGTATTTGTGCTTTCTTGAGCAGGGGGACCTTGCGGGCGCTGCAGGATTTCAGTCCTTCACGGCGTAGTGTGTTGCCAATTGTTTTCTTGGTGACTATGGTCCCAGCTGCCTTGAGATCATTGACAAGATCCTCCCGTGCAGTTCTGGGCTGATTCCTCACCGTTCTCATGATCATTGCAACTCCACGAGGTGAGATCTTGCATGGAGCCCCAGGCCGAGGGAGATTGACAGTTCTTTTGTACTTCTTCCATTTGCGAATAATCGCACCAACTGTTGTCACCTTCTCACCAAGCTGCTTGGCAATGGTCTTGTAGCCCATTCCAGCCTTGTGTAGGTGTACAATCTTGTCCCTGACATCCTTGGAGAGCTCTTTGGTCTTGGCCATGGTGGAGAGTTTGGAATCTGATTGATTGCTTCTGTGGACAGGTGCCTTTTATACAGGTAACAAGCTGAGATTAGGTGCACTCCCTTTGAGAGTGTGCTCCTAATCTCAGCTCGTTACCTGTATAAAAGGCACCTGGGAGCCAGAAATCTTTCTGATTGAGAGGGGGTGAAATACTTATTTCCCTCATTAAAATGTAAATACATTTATAACATTTTTGACATGCGTTTTTCTGGATTTTTTGTTGTTGTAATTCTGTCTCTCACTGTTCAAATAAACCTACCATTAAAATTATAGACTGATCATTTATTTGTTAGTAGGCAAACGTACAAAATCAGCAGGGGATCAAATACTTTTTTCCCTCACTTTCAAATAAAAACCCAATGCAGGACCCTCCTGAACAAAATTAATTCTGCTATGCAATGTGGCGCTCCTTGATAATTAAATAATTAAGCATATGCTGGGTTGACTGAGTATTGAAGACCCAGGACATTAAAATATCACCTGTCAATGTCGTTATAACACAACATATCCGTGTACATAATCATCTCTAGCGGCTCCACCACACGTGTTTAAAAAAAAATGGCACAAAATTAGCATGCACGCTGCGAGTTATTCTGCAATGCATCGTACTTGCTGCTGCCGTTAGCAGTTGCGCAATTGTCTGAAGTGCTTCAGTCCCGGCAAGACCACGCTTTCGGTGTCACGTCGCCATGGCAAGCATGCTCGCAGAATGCTCACGGACGAGCGATGAGTCGGTGTGTATGTAACGAGCGCTAAAGCAGTCACCGCTCTTTGTGTGTGTTTTTTTTCCGTTTGCAGAGCTGCTGAAAATCCTCGCCTTCCTCTACTACACGCTGGTGTACTACCCACTCCTGGCGTGCGCCACGGTTCACAGCCGCCCCTCTCACATCCTGGGTGCCCTCTTCTCCTGGTTTCACCTGGCGACCCTCATCTGCCACAAGATCGAATGTCCACGATCTCCCACCGTCAGTGTCGAGCCCGTGCTTATTTAACTCGTGTTTTATTTAGTTATTTGTATTTGAGCTTCTTTTGTTTGTTATTCCCCCCCCCCCCACCGCCAATTTCATCCCGGTTGTGCTGTTGGCGCATCGTCACGAGATGGAGGAGCCATTCGGATATCTCGCAGAGCAGTGCGACCCTTCGTGTTAGAGAACGGAATGCTGAAGCGGATGTCACGGAGCTACCTCTGAGATCTCTTTGAGACTTGTGGTCCACACAGCAGGGGGCAGCACTAGTCCTGCTCACTCTGCATATGACATGACAGTAAAATTGTAGGTTTCCCCTTTTTTATGTAAAAAAAAGGTGTTAAGATGTTAAAACACCAAACTGAAACCTTTTACAATGCATATATGCATATATTATCAAGTATTGTGGTTAATGCAGACATGATTCCATGTAAAAGGTTTCAATTTGGTGTTTTAACATCTTAACACCTGTTTGTTTCCAAAAAAAAAGGGGAAAATCTATTCTCATATTTTGGTACTGGCAAAGGAGGTCCCATGAAGTAAAATTGTATTTTAATTCCCAGAGCTGTAATATCGGCAAATTTAGATGCCGAAATGTATTTTGCGTTACAGTTTTCTTTTGTGCAGTCATTGGAAAACTGTGCTCTTGTGCTCATGAACGCAGAGCACACGAGAAATTAGGAAGGCGCACGTGCAAACATCTCCTCCGTTCAGTACATTCTAATATGCATCGGAAAAAAGTGTGGATCCTTTACTGGATGAAGTAGCTTTTTAGGTCACTTAAAAAACAACGATGTGAGAATGCGTAATATATGCATGTGCTGCATTGATATCTTTGTAGTACATGTGCAAACCTTGTTATCTTCTCTACAATCCGGTTTATAAAACACGCGTTAACTATAATGTCACGGATTACATTGCAGAAAATGTTCATTTGTGTACCCTAATTAAAAAAAACTTTTTAAATTAATGAAAAACCAGGAAATACATTTATAAAGAATACGATCAAAAAACATTTAACACATAACCTGAATTACTTCCCAAAGCCTCACAGTATTCGGTGGCGAGATGTTAACTACCTTGCCTGGTATACAGAAGATCGTGGGTTCGATCCCGACCCTGACGTCTGTATATTTGGAGTTTGCATATTTTCCCTGTGGTAATGTAGATTTTTCTCCGGATCCTCTGATTTTTCTCTCCACATTTTGAACCATGCATTTAGAGCATTTGGCTGCTATACATTTCCACATGATAAGGCACTTCCTTGAACTATCATTTGTGGCCAGGTCGCTTCTGAAAAAAGAGCTACATAGTTCAGTGGGCCTTACCTGGTAAAATAGAAAATAATCTTAGTTTAGTTTACTCAAGTAATTTAATTCCACGTTAGTGGGAAGGTGTCTAAGAGGTTTGCCCACCAAGGAGATTGAGTGATGAAATCGGTGTATGTGATCGTGCTAGGTAGATTGTTACATCTCACCATCGCCGAGAAGTTGCGGTGGCTTTAGGAGGCATTCATCCAGCAGTGGATTGACCACAGCTGATGATGATGATGACATGCATGAAACCACATAAAAGTCAAGGCCACTGAGAAAGAAATATGATTTTGAACTACCAGGAAATTCATCAAGACCAAAGCTCTCTCACTCGGCATTCTCACTGCTGTGTGACTGACTGTGGTCTCAGACAACAATACATCGTTCTTGAAAGCCGATGCAGAGCCAGTGACCTTTGGTCTCTAAATTTTAAAATCTCCACTCTCTCTGTCCCATCTACCAGAGGTCGACGTTTGATTACAGAAATGCGTGGAGTGTCGAAAATTCAGCAGCATTCAAATAAACACAGTACCGTAACCACGTCCTCTGAGAGGTCGCCTACCGAGCAGATGGAGGCGATGAACTCGGTTTTCGTGCCAGTGCTCGGTGGATTGTTACATTGCAAGGGATTGTGAGAGGCAGCTGCTGGTTGAGGGAAGCCTTCATCCAACAGTGGATTGACCGTGGCCAATTACGAATCGCATTGTTGAAATGTCTGAAAAATTGTGAGTATGACACATGCTGTGTGTGTGTGCGCGCGCGCGCGTGTGTGCATTGTTCCACATTTCAGTTACACAGCTACTACGACCTACTGGCCTCACTCCCGCAAATGCTGTGCCTGCTCTATCTGAGCGTCCGATACCCCATTTTGTTGGTCTCAGCATGCAGGAAGCCGGTGGTAAGTGTGGCTCACAAATAACTGGAAGCATCGCTTTCTCTCTCTCCATTTCACTCCACGTAATGCAAACGACCTCCGGTTCTCTCTCGCGTGTGGCTGAGCAGATTCTAGGAAGTGCTTTACGTCAAAAACATCTGTAACATAACGTTATAATTTAATCTCTCCAGTGATGAAAAAATTCAGCATCGCAGAAATGCCACACGTTTAAAATGCAATGTCAGCCACGCTCACCATTTTTCAAGCACACGATTACAATTTTCATCTTTTTTTTCTTCCGCAAACCAATTTCCCTCCTAGTATGGCTGCCAGGAAGAGGATTATGAGTCACAGTACGTCAGATGGCTGTTCAAAAGGAAAGCTCCGAAAGTCAGGTGGTGGTGCACATTTTTAATTGCCAATTATAATTGCACAGAACAACTTTGTTCGAATGCGCCGCATTGTGTTTTCAGCAGATTACGTTCAGTTATTTCTTTTCACCGCCATTTCAACATAACGCTTACGTTTTGCCTTGTTTTTTCGCTTCTCTTATAGAAAAACAACCTCCATTGCATTTGCATCGCTCATCACTACCTATATGTCCTCTCAGACAGAAGGTAAAATGTTTTTTTTAATTGCATATTGGGAGTAATATACGTGGTACTGTATTGTATATATAAAAAAAAACACAACTGTATATTGTTTAAGGAAAAGTACTGTATGTTAATAGATGATGCGTATATTCATGCTGTTAAGTAATTTGGTTTTGTAAAATCCACACGGCACAAATACGGGGTCAAATTACTTTGTTGCAGCCTGGCACTCATAAATTGGACTAATTTTATACCCGCATTCATTTCTACCACACAATTTTCGCCATGGCAAACAGCGAATGAGTATCAACAAAATCAATAAATACTTTACTCCACAAGTTAACCTACCAACCGTGCCCTCCACAAACTTGAGTGCCATTATTTGAGTGGTTGATAAAGATAAGTTCAGCTTCGTGGCTGTTTTATTATTATTATTTTATTATTACCGCAGTAATGTGGATATTCCGCTGTAGTTTACTCCCACAAGCGCTCCCTTGGAGCACGAAGACACGAACCTATTGCAACAGAGTGGTGTTCTCAATGACCTTTGCCATCGTGTTGTCAAACAGGCTTTTGCTACCCGACCAAGATGGTCATCACAGCGCTTATCTCTGCCATCACCGTCTACCAGGTGACAATTGTTTGCAGCACCTACCTTACCCGCTGCGCCTGAATGAACGTCGTGGATTTGAGTGAAGGCATCACTGACCAGCGGCTGCATCTCTGCGTGACTCTGCATGTCTCCAGGTCGCGCTGGTGCTGGTGGTGTTGCTCGTCCCACTGTTGCAGAAGGTGCGGTCGGGCGTGTCGGTGGACATCGTGTACCTGCTGGCCGGGTTCGGCGTTATCCTCTCACAGGACAACGCGGAGGCCGTGGAAATCTTCAAGCACTTCTTATGGGTCCTGGAAGGTACAAACCGGCAACGCGAGATGCTTGAAATGCAAGAAAAATTAACTTTAGCAATTAATATGAAACTAAAACTAAACTACGTTTTCTTTGGGTCTTTCGGTAAAGCCATGTAGATAGAATTCCTGCAGTCACGAAAGCTCTAAGTCAAGATTTGAATTACGTTTGTGTTACCAGGTAAGGCCCACTTCCGTATTTTTCAGAAGCGACCTGGCCACAAATGATAGTTCAACGAAGTGGCTTATCATGTGGAAATGTCCAGCAGCCAAGTGCTCTAAACGCGTGTTTTTTTAATGTGGAGGGAAAGCCCGGAGGACCTGGAGAAAATTCCACGTGGCCACGTAAAGAGCAAACGCCAAATATATAGGTGTCAGGGTCGGGATTGAATCCATGACCTTCAAATCCATTGCTAGATGAAGGCCTCTCCACACTATGACGGTTATGGGGGTTGCTTGACCATAGCTTACCACACAAGTCAGTGTGGGTTGGTGAAAGGTAAAAAAACGGTTCAGATGTCACCGCTGATGTCAGCTGTGGCTGGGAATCAAACTCAGGTCACCTGTGATCACAGCAACCTTCATCAGTATAGTAAAATTACATCAATGAGGTGTAAAAGAAATACCACACAATTTAGATCAATAAAGCTGTTAAGATACAATCAAGAGGAGTATCAAGCCTGCTTCTTCTCCTTCTTTCGTATGGCGTTTGAAAAAAGGCAGGAGGCTACAATTGTTCTGTTGATGTACACCATTCCACGGCATCCTGGGTAGCTGAGTAGGGTAGTCCACTCGTTCCACCAGACAACGCACTTTGTATTGGAGTAGGCATCATTTACATACGCCCGATGGTTTGAACCTCCCCGGATTAATCTTCCATGAGTGGGGGGAAATATCCACACCTTGGATTGTATATTATTGGTTCTTTCGGTAAAGTCACGTAGAAGGGAAACAATAAAATAATAAAAAATATAAAACAATAAAATGCTCACGACGTTTCGACTGCAACACAAGCAATCATCATCAGGTGTGAAAACCACAGCAAGAACATTTGAAAAAAGTGGCGGTTATTTTCAACGTTGGATTGTGTTGTTCTGACGCGGGTGAGAGCGGTCCACCGTGGCATCAAGACTGCGGAGACTGAAGAAGGAAAGAATAAGACCACGGGCGGTCAGGACGCGTTTTGAGCACGAGCCCCGGGCAGGATGCCGCACTTGGCGATGCTGCACACGACACCAAGTGCAGGGGGAGGGGAAAAAAACAGAAAAGCGGGTGGATAGATGCAGAGGTTAAAAAAAAACAAATCTAGAAGACAAATTAATTGAGACTGAACGACGCAGTAACGCCGCCTCAAGGAAGAGAACCACGGCGGAAATTTGTCTGGCCCCAATTGTCGCGAAACGAGCCCACGGAAGGAGCAGACGACGATGATGAAATGCAAGCGTTGTACGACACATTTAAACGGTGTGTATGTTTGAGCGCAGTCGCCGCCATTTATTGTTAAAGTGCGCCCAAGGTAACGTTGTTTTCTTGTCGCAGTGTGCTATGTGGTGAGTGTGGCAGCTGCTTGCTTGATCACCATCTACATGCTGCTGAGGACCTTTGCGATGCAGAGGTACAAGACCCAGTCGTGACAATGCACACACACATACACACACTGTCGTCCAACGTTGCATCTACAATCATAAAGCGGCAATATTTTTTTTTATTATCCCACGTGAGATGTTTCTTGTTTACAACTAGATGTTATACAATGTGTAATTTCGGGCTGGCTGTCGCTTTCGATAACGTGGTGATGATTAATTTAATAAGTAAATTATTATGCTCATGATGCACACATCTAATTGCGCGTCAAAGAAGTGATCATTTATCGCCTATACAAATTGTATGCAAATAATATGGCAATGTTACAGTCAGGCTAACACAGTCAACAGAGCTGTAGAAACAAGGCAAACAATTAGCGAGAAAGAGAATCCAGTCGAATCGTGGCCACAAATTATGACAATTCATCAGTTCATCATGAGGGTGAATAGATATGCATCTTAAGCTTCAAACAATATTGCTCCTGTGATTGAAAGCTCACAAAGCACATTTTCTGAATAGATCCACTGTGGTTTTCTTGTCTTAGATCATCAAATTAAATTTTGAGCAAATATGAACGGCTCTTGTCTGACAGCAGCATCACTGCTGCTATCAGACAAGCGGACCACAATGCACTTCTTCAGGAAATGTGTGGCTTTGTACACTTTCTGTTGTCTTCCTTAAAACGTATGGTCTTCCAGCCTACACGATTATCCGTTTCTGATGGGGTTTCTCATCATTTACAGATTTTATTTGAGTTACGCACCTGCTAGCCACACTGTGGTTCGAGCTTGCGACTCACAGTACGAAGTTTGCAAACTCAACAAAACCCGGTTAAGGGTGTAACATCAGGCAATCACCCCCTAGGGGTCAATAAAGTAAATACCATTTTGGGAAAAGTCAATAGTCGTCCTGGAGGAAGATTGTTCTCCAGAATGAGCACGGGGGATATCCCCACATGGCCCTGGGCCACCACATAGATAAGCATGACTCCGGCGCTCATTTGAGCATCGAGATACAAACATCAGAATTTTAAATGAGAGTTTAGCCTTGTGGCCTGTTCATTTCCATTATTGCATGTGGTATAAAAAATTGACTCGTGGCAAGGTGTAGCACTTAACTGAATTTTTTTTTATGAAATCCATTAGCACATAATGGGTATTAATTATAAGTGGTGCTTGGAGTCCTGGCAGTAAATGCACCAGTCAGCAGATAGCATTTTGTTTTAAAGTCACAACTCTTGTTTCTCCATCATCACACAGCCCACCATCCCTTCAGGGCCGATAGAAATGAGAGACTCACCTCTGTCATAGAAATGTGGAATTTCCACGACTATCTCTCGGAATTCTAAACAGGATATGAACGCTGCCTCAATACCGATAACTTTGACTATCATCACACAATCTACTTGTTCTCTTTCTAGACCTGTCTTGATCATTGATATGTTTTTGTCTTTGTCCTGTACAGAGAACACCTCCTGGCAATGTACAGAGGAGACACGTCTGAGATCATTCCAAAAAATCAATCATTGCCATCTTCAGGATTGTCTGTGGTAAACAAAAAAAAATAATTTTAAGAATTATTTTTCGAATACTGTATTTATGCTTGATGCCCATCCCGGCAGCACTGAGATAATGTGCTAGCCAAGGCTTTTAGTTTGTATAAATATATACATTTATAATACTGCTGTCAATTGTGAACCTGTATAATATCCTTGGTTCTTTCACACCTGATTATGGTAGCTTGTGTTGCAGTCGAAACGTCGTGAGAATTTTAGTGTTTTATATTTGTATTATTGTATTGTTTCCCTTCTACGTGACTTTACCGAAAGAACCAAGAATATGAATCCCTGCAGTCACGAAAGCTTTAAGTTGCCTGTCGATATGTACAGAAAATGTTGTGTTTAAGGAATACAAATCTGTTTTCACAAAGCCCCCACATGTAACACATTTTTCCAAAATCTTTTGCACGTACAAAAATATATTCCACTTTTCAACATACCACACTAGTGAGCATGTTATGCTGAGCTTGTTGACTGGTGCTAAAGCATATGCATGACTTAAAAAATATATGGTTCTTCTAATTACTGTTCAGCTATTTGGTGAATTCTATTCGAGAGCTCATTAAAATTCCGGTCAATGCCTTGTGCAAAAAAAAATCTAAAACTAAGAGACTCGTACAGGCAAAGCAGAAGCAAAAAAAAACACACTATTATAAAATAAATCAATACAAAATGCTGATTGCCCCTTTAATTATTCACCAGGTGTCCTGGATGACCTACAGTGGTTTTCAAACGGCGCTCATATTCCTGGGTAAGATTTACTCATCATATAAAACATCGCTAAATACTAAAGCATTCTGAATGCATCGGTTGTAATATTTCACTGGCTCGTGCCACTTTGTTTGCGTTTTGTTTATTGCATTTTGTTTAATTATCCAGACTCATGAAATATAAATAAGGCACAGATGCCCAAAGCGCTGCATATGCATGAGGGAGCATAAACGCAAATGGAAAGAGAGTTTTCATCTTTGTCCAGGGTGCAGAAACAACTTCATTTTTCACAATATTAAAGCCTTCAATAAGAATGAACATTGTCAGCTTCCGAATCTTATTCAAAGAATAAAATTACTGTAGATAAAAAAACTAACCCACTTTTTCTTTTGTCCATAACTCCATTCTGAGTTTTCTTTAGAAAAAAAAAAATCCCAACTGAAATTTATTTGGCATAATGCACATCATGTTGATGGACTTTACTCGTGTGTTCATGGTTACAATTAGAGTTGCGTCACGTTATGGCAATACTATGGTATACCATATGATATAAGGTGCCGTACACTATTAATTCCACAACAATCGTATCGTCCGTTTTGCGAAATAGTGTGATGCAGTAATTATCTTTGCCCATTGCATTTTTCTTAACCATCCCCTAACAACATACTTGTGAAATAGCAAACCCAACATTTAGGTTTATAAATAAATAGCTATTATTTATCGAATTTAATCTTTGTAGCAAAATATTTTCCAGACTAATGGATGGCGTGGTGATAATACGACAATCTTTCGCAGAGTTTGCGTAATAATTTAACAAAAATATGACGTAACTTAAATTGTGCGTTATAAATTATAATTATGAATACCACTTATGACAGACATACGCTGGGTGAGCTGCAGTTGGAAAACATTTAATACATCTTTCTTCCGACGGGAAATCCAGCAAAGTTCAAAAACCAATATAATAAAAATGTGAAATACAATTTCAAAGTCACGGCAAACTGATAACCGCCATGAAATATATAACCGTATGGCATCATGTTGCGGCATATAGTATTGCGGCAGGACTGGTCGCAGCGCTCTCTTCTATCGAATGCAGGGTTCGCTATACAGGCGATCATCTATTACATCTGCTCCGTGGCGATTGCGTTCCTGCTCATCATCCCTTCCATGTACGGTCTCACGGCTGTCGCTCTCAACATCGTTCGGAACATGTGGTGAGTGCCCCCAACGGATAAACATTGTTGTTATCTTATTCTTTGGGTCTTTCGGTAAAGTCACACAGATAGGTTCAAAAAAAAATCCTTTAAAAAACACCACGACGACGTTTCGATCGCAACACAAGCGGTCGTCGTCAGGTGGAGAAAAAAAAAGGTTGAACCCACCTACGTGACTTTACCGAAAGACCCAAAGAATATTAATTCCTGCGGTCACGAAAGCTTTAAGTCAAGATTGTTGTTATCGTCGTTATAGCCCCCCCCCCCCCCTCCTTGTTCCATGCGCAACAGCGGACACGAATAACAAGAGCTTTACAAACCAGTACACGCAAAGCGCACAGAGATATATTGACATGGTAAAGTTGAAAGAGGGTGCAGTGCTGCAATGACTTGCTCATGCCATGGCTGGTATAAGGGCCTACATTAGAAGGAGCTTCAGAGAGGGCCTCTGGAGGGTATTTCTGGACTAATCTTTCACACTGGCCAGACATTTCTGAAGAGGTGGCCGTGCCTACACATTACCTCAATGCAAACGACCTGCTGATCAACTCTGGTTGCACCCATTTCTATTGCTGGGTGGACAGATGTGGGGGGAGGGGTGGGGGGTGGGGGGTTAAGAAATGCGCACATTGTTTCTATCGCTGTGCTCGGAGGTCGAACCAGTGACCACTGGTTAGCAAGACCGGTGTGCCAACAATTGCATTATGGCAGCATAATTTGGATATGATGTGGCTGTTAATGACATGCTGGTGGTTTCATTTGCTCTGCCAGAGGGAATTCGAGATAATTTATATTCGTTGCCTTGCACTTCACTGTATTTCATCCATAAAATAAACGAAACGAGTTAGTCTCGAGACATTAATGAGTGATGCATAATAGGAAGGACTTGAGAAGGATTCTATATTCCAATTTAATCGGTAATAAACCACCCATAAACTCCACCTGAAGGCACTCAGGAGTACGGTTCTGCCCACTGCAGGTGACACTTCCAGGGAATTTTACAGCTACCATCTCTCGCACAGGAGGATAAATACTTAAACGTGAGCATCACTTTGCCTAAGCAAACCCGTTGTGCCATGCTCATACCGTATTATTCTTGCCGCAGGCCCTTCTGGTTGATGCTCGTGCTGGTCATCGTGGTTCAGCATCTTCTTGCCAGGCTCGTCTTCCTGAAAAAATCTGAGCACCATTCTTCTTTGGACAATCTGTACGTTTTTTCAAAAATATATTTTGCGTTACACACAATTTCATCGAGCCAATGGCCCTTTGTCATTGCTCGAAATGTTATATTTATTTTACTTTCAGGGGCAGTTATTGACAAATGTATTTAGTTTGTTTTGTTACTTCCATAACAAAAGCAAGATGGTTTAAAGACGAGGACTACAATGCACTTCTTCAGGAACTGCTGATGGGGTTTTTAGCATAATGCACAAAAGGCTCGGTGCTCTTTAAAGTTTTTTTGTCGTGTGAAATTTACCAATTTAATTCCTGAAGAAGCTCCCAGCACGTAGAGCCTCGCGGCGCAACCGCGAAAACCGACGCAGTGGCGTATTCCTACGTGCCCTGGTGATTTCATTCACGTCGCTTTATTCACTTCGCCCTGTCTGTCATTTCAGGCGACTCCTGTACATCACCACATACATGCTGTTCTGCTACAACATCTTCATTGGAGTGCTGACGGGGTTTTGGAGGCTGATCATCACTGCCATGTACAACACGGTCCACCTGTGCAGGATGGACGTGAGCCTACTCAGCCAAGGAGTGGCGCTCTATGACCCAGGCAAGCCGAGACAATTGGAAAGGGCATTGAACTTTCTTCATCAGAAGATATCGTTCGTTACGTTAGGCTGCACATAGGGACTGGGCCAGCTTGCACGTGTGCGATCGTCAGTTCTCAGAAGTGAACAGAGATGGGCCGGGTTAGTACTTGAAAGGGAGGATGCCTGGAAATACCTGTACCAAGTGTTGTTGGCTTGGGTTGCAAGGTGGTTCGGTACCATCAGTACAGCAATAGAGCTTGGCTTGATAGCTCACGGATTTAATGTGTCTTGCAATCGGTGGGAGACATGTAGAGGTTTTGAAATTAAATGTTGATTTCTCCCGAATATTTTAGCGAGGAGATAATGATGATGATGATGGCAGTCGCATGGAATCAATGACGACCGCCGGACGAGTTCAAATCGATAGAACTTTAGTGGGGTAGCTAACCATACACGGAGTGGAGCGTGTCACATTCATGGAATGCATCCGAGAGGATAACCACCGAGCAGATGGAGCAACGAAATCAGTTCATGTGCAGGTGCCAGGTGAATCCTTACATCGCAGTTTTCGAGGCAGGTGGCGGCGGCTCGGGGAAGGAATTCATGCAGCAGTGGATTGTGGGTTTACCACGGCCTACGCTGTGGATATATAATTGGTACGCCAGCTATACGACTGGGGCCGGATTAAGACTTTGTAGGCCCCTGGGCTACAGGTACTGTGAGGCCCCCGGTAATATTTTCAGAAAGAAAACAAAGTTAAAGAAAATTTAAAAAAATTATTTTTACAAGGCTAACAACAAATAAAATTCAGCATTCACAAACGAAATAACTTTTCACTTCATCTCTGGAGGCCCTCCAGCTGGCGGAGGCCCCTGGGCTGCAGCCCCTAAAGCCCCCCCCCCCCATGCCTTAATCCGGCCCTGCTGGGCGCACGTATAAATGTACAGACGAATGAGCGATGAGTCGGTGGCAGACGAGTCGAGCTCGAGAGCGCCCTGCCTCCCCGCGCAGGCTACCGCTGCTACGTGGGCTTCCTGCAGCTGGAGGCGTCGCATGCTCACCCCGTGGTGCGCGCATTCTGCAAGGCCCTGGTGAGGGCGACGAGCAACAGCAGTTGCTCCGCCAGCGTCGTTCCCACGCGCGACGTGGAGGAAGGTGAGATCTCTGTCACCAAGCATCCCCACCACCAGCCCCACCACCGATGCACCTCGGGGGCAGATCTAGAAACTTCCCCACGGGACGAGAGGCGGTTCCTCAAATTGCAGGCTTTTTAAAATAGGGCCCTACATTTATATGAGAAGAAAAATGTCAACGTAATTTCGCTTGCAGATTTCAATAACGTGCCACATTTTGGGTCTGCCACTCATCCACCTGCCACGTATGCACACAACTGGAAAATACTAATGATTGTGTATATCTCGGGACATACTTGAAGGCGGACCTGGATCAAAATGATTACATGAAAGCCTTTGAAAAAACGGAATTGTTTGACCGTATTAGAAGTTGCATATCAGTGTGTCTCCAGGGTAATGTTGTGAATTATTGCATACCACCTGCAAAGATATGGATCAGAAACAGAGACAATAACAGCGAAGATGGAACAAAAGCTGAAAATAATCCCAAGAAGCATGGAGAGAGATACTCGCTTGGAATTACAACTGAGAGACGAGGGGGGGGGGGCGAAACATGAAGATCGGGCGACACAAAATATAAACATAACGACTGAAGAAACATGAACAGGAGATGTCGCAAGAAGGGAGGGAGGGATGGCTGATGGATGACGACTGGCGATGGAATCGCAGACAAGAAGATAACCACCAATGAAGATGGCGGAATGAGATCAGCTCATATGCAGCGGCAAGGTGGATTGTACAACAGCCAGACCTCCAATGGTGGCAACATATTTTGGAGGACTTCATCCAGCAGTGGATATAACATAGCTGATGTGATACAAACAGCTTCCCTGTACTGCGCAGTGTTTTCCATTGAAAACGAAACACATACACCGGCGCTCAAAATCGTAGAATCATTGCGTAAACATCGACAACGTCAGCATGAACAGGGCAAAACAAGCCAGGATACTGCCTGTCAGTGGGCACACGCACGGGCGCTCACATACATCAAAAAGCAAACTGATATTCTAAGTAACATATGGTCATGCTGAGAGGCAAATTGGGATTAGCTCTTCATGCATAACAAACAGTGCCCGGAAGGTATCAGGTTACATCAGAGGGGTATCATGAGATTATAATTGAAAGTGTTTTTTTGGTTGTTGTTGTAAATATGACAAAACTTTAATCCTGTTTCCAAAAGGTATGCTTAATGCACGCGACTTTTCACTACCTGTTCCCACTTTGACATTGCTGTATGATGCTGGCCAATTGACGGTCTGGGCCTTGAGGCGTCAGCTCAACAACGGTGTCAATCGAACGGCGTGAACAATCACAACACTGACGACTGACTCAGCATGGGAAAAGTTGAATCATAGCGGTGGACTCACGAAGAGATGTCGTCGTCATCATCAGCCATGATCGATACACTGCTGAATGAAGGCCGCTCCCGAGTCCCTGCCATCTCTCTCACGAGCCTACGTAATAATCCACCGAGCACCAGCACACAAGTGGATCTCATCACTCCGTCTTCTTGATGGATGTTCAAACACAACATTGCGTTGCGAAATTAACTTTCACCATGTACTGATGTTCTCACCATGTAGCGTGTGTACTATGCAAAGACGTAATGATGTACCTGAGCCAAAATTCATTTCGGCATTTTGAGCGTCACATTATTTCACGCCACTAAATTAATAATTTAACGTATTGAACGTTCAGCTTAGAAATAATACATCTGTCTCAGGAAAATTACTCAGTCTGTAACTGTGAAGAGGAGCGAATGCCTGATATCGGTGCAATTTTTACTAATTATTTTGTTGGCAGCAAAATTAAACATTATTTGAGCCACAGATTACGGTGGCTATGCACGCTCGTAATTGTGTGCCATGGAGGCAAAGGTTTGTGGATCACAGAAATGTCGTGAAACTACCCTTCCACTGAGCGTCGAGGTCACCACTACACTAAACTATTTATTATTTTACCAGGTAAGGCCCACTGAGCTATCTAGTTCCTATTCAGAAGCGACCTGGCCACAAATGATAGCTCAACGGAGTGACTTATCAGATGGAAATGTAGAGCAGCCAAATAATCTAAACGCACGTTTCTATACGTGTCGGGAAAAAAACTTGGAGGGCACAGAGAAAAATCCACGCGACCACGGGGAGAACACGCAAACGCCAAATATACAGGCATCAGGGTCGGGATCAAACCCACGAACTCCTGTAGGTCAGGCGAGGTAGTTAACATCTCCTAGCCACCGTGGCGCCCTTACCATTCCCTCGCTTGCCAGGAGATGGCAGTATGGCAAGTGGGTTCATTTCAATCTCTTTCCATCTGTACAGGGAGTGTTGCCTCACCCTACACCCTCCCCCATTCCCCCCACCTCGCACGCTTGGGTTTTCTCAGATTACTTCAGTTTTTCACACATGTGTAAGCACTGAAACCATCTTCACACATGAGGACTGCAGAGCTTGGAAAATTGTTGGCACCGGATAATCAACGCCTGGCTGCCTTCCCGCTTGTCTGTGGTTCCTCATACCTACAAGTCGTTTTTTTTTATCTTCGAGACCAAACTAAATAATAATAATAATCTCAACAACAGTGACGTCACGTATCATCAAAGTTGAATCACCTGAGGGCACTTTTGGCAGGAAATAGCACTAAAGCAATGGCAAAGAAATAACGTAAATTTTCGGAACAACGTTTTTTTTTGGGATCATCCGAAATGTCACATTTAGGCCAGGCATTCTGCTTTCTTTTCCTTTGAAATATGAAATCCAAAATATTCAATCCAGGAACACATCCCTGCAGTAGCGAACGCCTCGTCAGCCAAATCCATGCGCTGACGGTGTGGCGGGGGTGGTGGTTGTGGCGGTGGTTATCTGTCGGCACCAGCAGGTGTGCAGCTGGTGCAGCGCAGGGCTCAGGGCGTGCGGCTGCTCCGCGCCCACCAGAGCCGCGGCCGCTGGCTCGTGGCCTACACCCTCCTGCGCAACCCGTGCCTGCTGCCCCGCAAGAGGACGTCACCGCCCGCCCAGGGGGCCCACAGCACGACCACGAACGGAGGAGGCCTCACGGCCGGCGGCGAAACAGAGAAGATGTGACCGCCGAGGTCGGCGATGACGCGGGACCCGATTGAGTGTTTATACCGTCAGTAATATTGCTATTGGCACTGTTCTTATAGCGCGACACGGTGGTGTTGTCACCATTCGTACAGCGCTAGGCTATCATGGACACGTTGGTATATGTACTATTCGTGTAGCGCAAGGCTATCACGGATACATTGGTATTTGCACCATTCTTATAGCACAAAGGCTAACACAGAGGCGCTATGTTTCACAGGCGTTCAGTCGACAGTAGTTTCTCAGGAGGGCGTGATACCTGCTATGCGGCTTTACCCAATTCGGCAATTGGCGAGTCATTTCAAATTTGGACCGTGACGCTGGCACACGTGACCCACTACTATATAGAATAACGTTACATCATGGGACCTCCTTTGCCAGTGTCAAAGTATAAGAATAGGTTTTCCCCTTTTTTCTGGCAACAAAAGGAGGTTATAAACTTGATTTGAAGCTTTCGTGACTGCAGGAATTACTCTTTGGTTCTTTTGGTAAAGTCACGTAGGAAGAAAACAAATTAAATAAAAGGGTACGACGTTTCGATTGCAATGCAAACAACCGTCATCAGGTAGAACTAAATTTGAGAGAGAGAGAAAACACAGACACGGAGACACACAGACAGACACACACACAGAGAGAGACAACACAGAGACACATAGAGAGAGACACACAACATAGACACACTGTGTGTTTATGTTGTGTGACATTGGCAAAGGAGGTCCCATGATGTAGCTGCTCTCCCCGAGCTCTCATTACTCTGATAGTGCTTTGTCTTTGTGCTGTTCGCCTTTTGGCGTCCTCCGGTCTAACACCGTTTGAGACAAGGCTCTAAAAAAAGCTGTCTCTGGTGTGGACCAATCAGTTTCAAAGACAATGCATCATATACTGTCAGAGCATGTTTGTTGTTTGTATTTTAACCACAAGTATATGTGGTTAATGCAGACATGATTCCTTGCAAAAGATTTAAGTTTGGTGTTTTAACATCTTAACACCTGTTTTGTTGCCAGAAAAAAAAGGTGGAAAACGTATTCTTATAGAATAACATTACAGGAGCTCTAGCGTCCATTGCTAGTCGAGATTGCGTGCATTCATGGTTAATACACCAGTAGTATTAACCAGGGCGGCCATGGGCTCGAACCGCAAACCTCTGCAACAAAGCGGCAATAGCGCTCCCGCTCGTGGACACCAACCGTTAAATCATACAACATCGCTCGCCAATGTTTGAGTGTTAGAAGCGGGAGATTTGTAATTTTCAGTGGGCTGTCTGGACAGAACTGCACACCTTGCATGCCTTCTGACGAGATATAAGGCGAGTTACAGGGTATATAGAATTAGCGTTGTCGAAATTGCGTTACGTTACACGGCGTCGTAAACTGTAAATACATTTTAAGTTGAAGCCACTCTCCCCCCATCACCCCCCTCCCCCCTTAACCCCCCTATCACCCCCTCCCCCCTTAACCAGTTTGAATGGACCATAATCGTGAAATATGGTCAAAAAACCTCCATGACCAGCATGGAGAGGTCCCTATCCAGCAATGAATTGTTCCATTAGAATCAGAATGCACGTATAGAAGCTTTAGACACAGCAGGTCAATAGACAATGGAGTGACAGATTTGGTGCAGGTACAATTAAACCATATACAAGGTGAATCTATAGCATAGATTTTACATGAAAGCATGTGTACAAAACAACGGTAATGTGAACCATTGCAACGCCACATGCCTGGATTTTTGTAACTCTTATCAAATATTCACTGCATTCGTGATTAACACTGCATGAGTTGAAAACAAATATGTGAAAACGCTACTAACGCTCCTCAACATATCGGCGTATTAATTGCTTTCCTTGCTATATAAACCGGCGTCGATGACGTGTGCATGGCGAGTCTGTTTGATTTGTATCTGTGTACAAATGCCAACACCGCTCTCTCCCCCTTAAGGTTTCATTGCTAATGCAAGTCTTCTGATTATTGGGCGTAGGTCTGTGTAGGTAAATGTTGTAAGTCGCATCCATCAGTCTTCTCTTAGTAGACTGAATCATCACCGTGCTCGACATATTACAATGGCGAGATCATTCCCGAAGAGATGTTGACGGTTTTGGCTGCTGGCGCTGACGACAATGGAGGTGCCGGATAAGTTCGTGGTGTTAACAACAACAACAACACATTAAGTTCGTTCAGTTAAAGTTAATTTACGTTATGAAAAAAATTGTGAGAATAACGACGGGGAGGTAGGAGTTGCAGCCGAATGTCGTGAAAATTATGAAACTAAACGAATTGAAAGACAATGTTTATTTTAGCAGGTGGGGCCCATTGAGGTGTATAGCACTTTTTCAGAAGGGACCTGGTCACAAATGATAGCTTAACGAAGTGGCTTATCGTGTGAAAATGTAGAGCAGCCAAATACTCTAAACGCGTGATGTTGGATTATAAATGGAGGGAAAACCTGCAGGACTCGGAGAAAAATCCACGCGACCACGGGGAGAGAGACATGCAAACTCCAAATATACAGGCGTCAGGGTCGGGATCGGGATCGAACCTACGCACTCCTGCTCACCAGTCAAGGTAGTTAACGTCTCACCACCATGCACGGACAATGTACAAACGTTGAGCAATGACGACTACCAAAACACGCGCAAGAGAAGATAGACGTTTAAAAAACACGTGGAACCGCTAGTGCCTGGGCGCCTCTCGTTCACAAAGAGGGGCGGTGGGCCGCGCCTTTCCTGACAAAGTGCCGCGCTAATCAGTGTGTCCGACAGCAATCGAAGAAAGGCTGGAAACCTAAAGCGGAAATTTGCTGAGGTCGTAGTGAAGTGGGTACTGGGTGTGTGGCCGGGTGTTTTTTCTGGCTGCTCTCATCCATCACCAGAGCTCATGCAATGATTGAACCAGCAGAGTGTGGGGTTTTGTGTGTGTGTGTGCGTCTAGCATTTGCAGAGATGATTGCTAATCGTTCACAACAGCACCATTGCACAATGTAGCTCCCTGAAGAGTTATTTTTTTTAAATCTAAACCAAGTGCAGAAAATGTTACATCGAATAGTTGCCATTTGCCAGAGTTTTAATTTGTATGTGCCAAAATAACAAAAGACAAACAGATAAAGCTACTCTCTTCTAGATTTGAAGCTTTCGTGACTGCAAGGATTCATACTATTAGTTTTTTTTCGGTAAAGTCAGGTAGGTAAAATAAAAATAAAATAGATGAAAATAACTAAATTAAATCACGACGTTTCGGAGGCAACACAAGCTTCCGTCTTCAGGTGGAACAGTCACAGCAGAAGAGCTGTATCATGTGGAGAGCTCTGAGACAACCGAGATTATATACAGGTTAAGGGGGGGGGAGCCAGAAAGGGACGTGGGTGGGGGGGAGGGCTAAGCTTAAGCCGTCTTTTGTTATGCTGCAGGGGATTCGGGGGAAGAGATGCAGATATACAAACATAGACACAACTTCAACCGAGAGGATGGTTTCAAATTGAGCAACCATTGGAAAGATGTTATAAACCAAGTCAAACTTTGGCTGCTTTATAATTGTACAGCCATTTCCATTGCTCTCAGTGGGTTGTGTGTACTCGTGCACCTCTTCGCCCGAACCCCCTGCAGCATAACAAAAGACGGCTCAACTCAGCCCTCCCCCCCACCCACGTCCCTTTCTGCCCCCCCCCCCTAACCTGTATATAATCTCGGTTGTCTTAGAGCTCTCCACTTGATACAGCTATTCTGCTGTGACTGTTCCACCTGAAGACGGAAGCTTGTGTTGCCTCCGAAACGTCGTGATTTAATTTAGTTATTTTCATTTATTTTATTTTTATTTTACCTACGTGACTTTACCGAAAAAAACAAAATCATAAATGCAAATTTACACGAACGCCGTGTTAATCCTTTGTTGCAAGTCCGGAATATGTACAGACAAAGATCACCCGTATAGCCTTTAACAGACTGTAGGGGAAAGTAGTTAGCGAGCACCTATTCAGGCCAGTACGGCACACGAGGGGTTGGGTGGCCAGCACCACGCCCGGCTGCCTTTGTCTACCCCAGCGCTGTTTACACACCAGACCAGCTACTCATTTAAGGCTGCGTCGACCTACGGGAGGCCCAGGATCTGTTGCAGATATTCATCACCAACGTTGACTGTGAACAGCAATTGAACTTGGTTTCGCCAGGTTCATAGCGCAGTGCGCTAACCACTGCACCACCCCCCTCCCCGACGCCAGACACAATACATTGCCACACCAAGTCACAGATTGTAAATGCAGTGCAATACTTGGCACTAAACTGTGCTTAGCATTAACGATACTGTACTTGTAAAAATATGTCTGTGCCATGCTGGTAGTGAGCGTTCATTAGCAATCTTACAAAAGAATTGGAAAAAAAAATCTGAGTTTTTGCTAAACAACGAAATCCCTAACACTCTGAGATCATCCAGACATTGTAATTGTGCAATGTGAGCAACGTAACACTAATGAGACGAACCAGCATTGCATGCAATACTCACTTGCTGAACCATTAGGGGTACATATACTGTACTTTATTTCAATTCAGCTATAGAAATTGCCATCAGAAAACATGAATATAAAACGAAGAACAATGCACCGTCATATTTATGTTTTGTTAATGAATGTATTCACATCTGTTTATCGATCTACGTTTAAAAATGCACACGCTGACAATGTAATAAAAATGAAACAGGATGAATAGAAAATCAACTTCGCTTTGTTTTATTACCACTTAAAGTTGAGTTGCTCTCCGTTGCTTATGGACATATGCATGCACTAAACATTGCATGGACCAAAACACACACACGGTGCATAACCAGACGTGCACACACGCACATCAGTTACAAAGTACATATACCACTGCCTTGCCTGAACACAACACCCAAACGTGTTGCATTTGAACAAATATTACCATGGATTTCATGTTTTAAAAAAAAAGAACGTTTCATTTTACGCGTTTATTTGCACTTTGTACAAAAGACAAGGTAACATCACGGACATCGAGGCGTCTAAAAGTGAAGACTACACATACACACGCGTATCGTCAATATTTAAAATATCTACCAAAGAAAAGATTTCATCGGGCCTGTTTAAAGCAAGTCGTAGCTGAACGGTGTTTGCTCATGAAGGCTGGCGGAGCTTGTGAAGGCCTCGGCAGCAGAGAGTACCGGGGTCAGAATTGGCGTCGAGCGATTCGCGAATTGCTGAATTATCCTACAAAAAGCTGACGACAAAAAAAACAACATCACGTGGAATGCGACGATTGCCATCAGATATTCAAAGCGAACCCGGGCTTGAGTTCTGAACAGTGCTTGGAACGGGCGATCAAATCGAATGATGGGAGCGGTCTGAATTAAAGATGCACATTCCGATCAGGAATTAAAACCAGGTGAGGTGCTTGGATGCGTTGCGGACAGCCGAAAGGCAGTGCAGCGAAATCACTTCTCTTTGGAACTGCATTCGACCAAGCCGCAACCGTGCAGCGTGGTCAATGAACACCGGTGAGCCGCACGGCATTCTAGGGCGAGGGAGTTGATAACCCTGCTGGCTGTGCTGCCTTCGACTGGACATCATTCTCACGCGACACCGCAGGCGCGCGTTGCATCACCCACCACGCCTGGCACAGCCACGTGTGCCAAATGTGCCCCTGTGTCCACCTCACAGTGTACACGTGGAGTTGGCCAGCAGGTCGTGTGTATTGGGGGGGGGGGGGGGGGGAGGGGGGGCGATGGTTTGTGGTTACTTCCACCTCGTATTCTTTGGGTCTTTCGGTAAAGCCACGTAGATAGGTTCAAAAAAATAACTAAAAACTACGACGTTTCCATCTACGTGACTTTACCGAAAGACCCAAAGAATATGAATTCGTGCAGTCACGAAAGCTTTAAGTCAGGGTTTTACTTCCACCTCGTTCAAGACGTTGTCTGACCAGCCTTGGAAGAGTAGGTCAAATACCTCCTCCCTCTCCGCTTCTTCCTCTCGACTCCGGCGGAAATTTGAGAGCGCTCCCTCGTCACTTAATGGTTCTTAACCTTTCGTGCAGCCTTGCAGCCCTTTGGGTTCTTAATCGTAAACATTTTTTTTATATATAATGTTAATAAATACATAGGATTTATGAAACAAAGTAGTTGTACTTACGTGCCCGTGCTCAATTTGTGTGTTTTCGATTATTTACCTTCTAAAAGAAAAAAATCTGCCCATGCATGGCACCCCCAGAAAGGTTATCTCGCACCCTCAGTGGGTGCGTGCACCGCAGGTTAAGGAGAACCACCGAGCTCTAGAGGGGAGTTGCCCCACTCTGCCACGCTGGTCAGGCGAGCACCGTCGTGGACGAGGTTGGAAGAACCCACACCCGGCCACGATACACGCGACCTGCTGCCGGTCACGCCGAACTGCTGCCGCTGCTGCCGCCGCTGCTGCTGCTGTGACCCGTTTCGACTCGAGCGGCCCTTCCGCCAGCTGTGTCGCGAGAAGAACGGCCACGGGCGCAGTTTGTGGAGTGGGGGCCACGGAGGATGGGCGTCGGGGGCGGGGAGGGGGCAACCACCCCACCTAAACTTGACGCCTTTAGGAATTTATATTCAGTAGTTTACAATTAAGATTAAAAAGCAATTATATGCACCCGCGATTCATATTGTGACGGACAAAGCGAACCCCCCCTTCCCCCCAAATATAGAAGTCAAACTCCGCCTATGGCTGAACCTTGACCTCTTTTTTTTTCGTTTGCAATGTCTTCTCCCTCCTGAAAAGGCAGAGCCTTACGAATGGCGAGAGTCGTCGCACGCGTACGGATGTACAAAGCTGTGGATTACAACTGTATGTACAGGTTTGTAAAAAAAAAGGTTCACCTCAAGCGAGCTCATAATAAATGTTTTTGGGTTAGATCTCGTAAGTAAAAGTGTCGAAACCCTCCACCACCCGACAACCAAATTACTAAGGGATCTGTCACGTAAACAAAACGACGTTACTATTTGGCGTATTGTTTACGTGACAAATCCCTTACTAAATTGGCTGTGCCGGGTGGTGGAGGGTTTCGACACATTTATACTTATGCGATCTACCCAAAAGCCTTTATTATGAATAATATTGGTCGCGAAATCCTGCTACGTGTTCAACTCAAGCGAGCTGTTGTTGCACCTCTGATGTGCCTCGGATCCCAAGTACGTACTCATACGCAGACGGGGAAAGAGATTAAAAAAACCTTGAGTCGAACCGGATTTTTGCCATCACATGAAATCCATCGTAATAATAAAACTTGGAAAATCATCGATCCTGGCCCTTAGTTTGATTTAAAAAAAAAAACCCACGCACAAATTTTACGACCGATTTAGTTTACATTTTTTAGCTTGTTTTTGTTTAAATTAAAAACACACACACAGTAAAATACACACGAGAGACAAACGTGTCTAACGAACTAGTACAAATGTTTATAGACTGACGTTATCGTACATTTTTTCTCAATGTTATGCTTCACATAGCATATTGTTCACTAGAGCTTGTCAAGGCATCGAAAGTGCTCATTGGAAAAAAACACATGACACTGAACTGTTGTTTTTTTATATATATACTGTATATATAATCTGCCTTGAATGCACAGAGCCACGTACTTTAACCGAAAGACTGATGACATCTATAGCACAGCGCAATTCGAAACAAGCAACGTCAGTCAACCCTGTGTTGAGTGTTTCACGAATGTCACTCCGAGACTACGTTGCGTACATCGCTAAAGCCACAGCGTTAAGCTACGTTACAGATCAAGGGATTCATTTCAACCGGGGCTGTGCTCTGAAAAATAACCCCCCACCCTCTCCCCTCCGCTCTGTTGTCGAGGTAATTGAAGGGTTGTAGTAGTAGGGGGGGGGGGCGAAAAATATTCCATGATGAATTAAATATTTCCAAATGACAGCCGCGCGCACTTAACTACACAGGGAGCGTTGAAAAGACGGCCACGGCATTTCGCGCTTTCAGATGCGCCTCTGCGGCCGTCTGGAACGCTCTTCCTTCCGATGGTAGGAAGCCACTGGAGCTGTGCACTTTCAAATGATCGAGATTGAAAACTCATTTCTTTTGAACTGCTGTTTACGTTTGGTTTGTTGTCCTTCCATCGCACCTACGTACGGTGGAAGTTTGGCTACGTACGGTGCGAAAGAAGTTCAACAACAAATATGTTCCGTCACATCCGCTGGAAAATACAAGTGGCAAAAACACAGAAATATGTGTCATTGAACAAAACAACTAAAAACTGAAGTCTCATGGAAGTAGTAAAAAAAACACACGGACGCTTTGGCGACATGACTGCCACGCGTAGCAAACTGGCGAAGAACTGTGCTGTTCTTTATGGCAGGTAAAGTGATCAGTGCGTGTCCCGATTGGGTCGTGATCGACATGCAACGAGAGGCGTATTGTGCCCCAATGCACACAACCCAGCCAGACCACAAGTACTCTTTAAAAACAGGTCAAGAACTCAGCATCAACCCATGAGTTTTTTTTTTTACTGTAGCCTACACCTCTTATAACTAGGCTATAACGTATACCCTTCAATAAAAAATGCGTTTGGATGGAGCGGTGGCGCAATGGTTTGGTTAGCGCGCAGCACTGTTAACTCGACCTCCAGAGGTCGATTCTCGACCACCTCCTAACGACATCGATGACGAGCGTTAACGGAACCGGTCCTGGACCCGCTCACCCAGAAGTGAATTGGCAGAGGGCTTTACCGTACATTTATTCAAATTGAAGTGGACTACGAATTGAAACGCGTGATGTCGCCTCGATGCACCCGAGTGTGTGCGATGTGTCGCGTCGCGCTTTGCTTGGTGTTTTTTTTTTCCGTCTGGTTGATATGGGATGGGGGGGGGGTGTACAGCCGTTACGTACACTCGAATTATTGTCACCTTTTGAGACACATGGCAAAGCCGATTGATAAAGTAAACAGCGCCCAAGTATGTGGTATATATATATGTGTGTGTATCTTAATTTGAATTTCGTAAAGGACACAAACAAAGAAGTGTTTATACTCTCTGGTTCTTTCGGTAAAATCACGTAGATATTAAATATATAATGAAATTAAATAAAACACGACGTTTTGGTCGCAACACAAGCGTCCGTCTACGTGACTTTACCGAAAGAACCAGAGAGTATGGATTCCTGCAGTCACGAAAGCTTCAAATAAAAAAAAAAATGTTTGTTTGCTTAAAAATATCATTGGCGCGATCTTAAACAACAAGAACAGATGGGAACCAGAGCGGAGACGGTCGGCTCAGCGGCGTAGCTACCGTCGAGTGTGCCGGCGGTGCAACTGCACACGGGCCCTATGAGTGGAGGGGCGGAGGGGCCCATGCGTCGGATTAACGAGGGGTAAATATTGAACAGAGGGCTCCCCCCCCACCACGGCCCCAATGCCCAACCGCGCTACGCCACCGAGTCGGCTCTCGCGTCTCAGCGAGCCGGGTGCTTGTAGTTGCCGTTGATCTCCTGCGCGATATTCACGGCCTCGGCGCCCAGCGGAAGGCGATCGCTGCACTCCGACTCGAGGTCGAACTGGGCCGCGTCGTCCTTGCACCCCGCGGGCGGGATGGACGCCTCCTCCTCGCTGGGCTGTAGGCTCGCGTGGTCGCCCACTTCACCGATCGAGTCGCACATCGAGTCCCGCTGCGCGCAGTGCACAACCCGCTGGTCGCCGGGGACCACCCGCGCGGCCGGCTGCGCCACGCCGCCTCCGTTGCCCGTCTTCTCCTGCTGCTGCTGCTGCTGCGACGGCTTCTCCATGGGCTTGTAGGTCTTGGCGCGGTACTGGTAGACCAGGTGGCAGCAGGCGGCGCCCAGCAGCGGGATGGTGGCGAGGCCCAGCAGGAAGGAGCTCACCACCACCATGATGAGCAGCGACGGGATGCGCTTGCGCGTCTCGAATGGCACCTGCACTTCGCACGACTGGCCGGCATGACTCAGGCACAGCGTGTACTGCGTGCCGGGCTTGAGGCCGTGGAAGCGGTAGAAGTGCACCTCGCTCTGCACCAGCGACCACTGCACGGGCGAAGAGTCAGGCGCGTCGCCCGTGCACAGGTACATCATCTCGAATTTCGCAGCGGCACCCAGGTTGCCGTTCGCCTGCTGCTGCTGCTGTTGCTGCTGTTGCTGCTGTTGCTTGAGGGCCGACCACCCCCTGTCGCCCTGGCGCACAGGCAGCGCGCGCTTGGTGTCGCCTCCGCGCGGCACCGGGGTGAGCTGAACACGCGCGTCCGTGTCGGACACCTCGAGGGCGATCACCCCGAACTCGAAGCGGTGCCGCTGCTCGTAGCCGAGCGCCGGCACGGGGGTCCCATTCAGCGCCTGCTCGAGCGAGGAACCCCCCGCGTGCTTGAGCGCGCACGCCGTGTTCACCGGGGTCGGGAAGGGCGCGCCGTGTTCGTTGTAGTCGTAATCGTCGTCGCTGTCATCGTGGACGGACACGTCGTTCCTCTCGACGAAGCCGCCGGCGCGATCCTTCCCGGCGCCTTTCTTGTCGGTGATGCTCGCTTGAGACGAGGCATACTTCCGTTTCTTCGACGTTCCCGGGACGAGGAGCGGGTTGACTTTGGCCTTGCCGCGCTCATAGCCGCCGCGCTTCGCCAGCGTGATCCGAGCGCTCGCCGAGCTCTCCCCCATGTCGTTGGTCGCCACGCAGGTGTAGGCGCCTTCCTCGCTCTCGCTCAACTGTGGGATGACCAGCGTCCCGTTCCTGAAGGCCATCACTCGCTTGTCCAGCACGTCGTTGGTCTCGACGACCGCTTCCTCGGGGACCTTTTCCTCGTCGAAGACCCCCAGGTCGATTTCGCCACCTTCCTTGCGCAGCTTCCACGAGACGGTGGGCGCGGGGAGGCCATCGGCCTGGCAATCGAGGACCACCGCGAAGTCAGAGTAGAGCCGAGTCTCGCGCACGTCCGGGCTGCTGGAGAGCCGCACTGTGGGAGCCACGCACTCGACGTCGGGCATCTGCTGCACGGCTTGCCCCTTCAGCTCGTCCGGCTCGGCGCACGCGATATTCTCCTTGCTGGGGATGTCGATCGAGGTGGTGTTGAGCCACGCCGGAAGCCAGCGCGCCTTGCACGAGCACCGCAGAGGGTTCTCGTAAAGAAGCAGGTGCGAGAGGGCGTGCAAGTTCTCAAAGGTGCCTTCCTCGATGGTGGCGAAGAGGTTGTGGTGGAGACGCAGCGATCGCAGGTCGGTCAGCGTCTCGAATGCGTCTCGAGGAAGGCGCACCAGATTGTTGTTGTTCAGCTTGAGCACCTGGAGCGCCGTCAGGTTGCGCAAGTCCTCCCACGAGAAGTCGGCCAGCTGGTTGTTGCTCAGATCGAGGTTGCGCAGCTGTACCAGGCCGGCCAGGGTACCCTTCTCAATGCTCACCAGCTCGTTGTGGGACAGCCACAGGGAACTCATGAGCGGAATCTCCTCGAAGGCGTCTCGGGATAGGCTACGCAGGCGGTTCGCGGATAAGCTGAGCGAGGTTATGTTCGCGGGCAACCCCTTGGGCACCGTCTCCAGCTGCTTGTAGGCGCAGTTGGCGATTTGGTGCACGAACTTGTCCAGGCATTTGCAGGGCTCCGGGCAAGCGGTGGCCGAGCGCAACGAGGCGATGCAGCCCAAGACCAGGAGGATCAGGCGCACTCGCACCATCTTGTTTGCGCTCTACAAACCACAAAACACGGCACTTACACACCGCGCACAACGCGTGCTGTTTAACACTCGTAACATGTCTTTATAGACAAAGATAACAATTACATTTTAGAGCCGGAACGCACGCACGTTAATGATGATGTCGTTACTCTATTTGCAAGACAATATGCAGTACTTGAATTCGTGGACCGGTGGCGCAGCGCTTAACGCACTACGCCCACGAACTCGACCACCTGAGGTTGATTCCTGTCCGCGGCTAATACCAGCGGCCAGTGATGGTTGAATCGGATCTGGAGACCCCCCTTACCCCCGATTCATGAACAGGCACTAAGCAACGTGGTCAAGTATGGTCAAACAACCTCTGTGACCGACGCTAAATGGGGAAGATGCCTTCGTGCATTACTGAATTGAAACATTCTACAATTATATTATTATACTTGAATAATTATTTTACTTATTAAGATCAGTAATATAGCCTTAAATTGTATAATAACGTTGGTGTTTATTACATAAGTCTTACATGGGGTTTCACTTATCATGTTAAACGTGGCGTAATTACGGCGAGCCTTACATTAGCGTGTATTTTAATAGCCCAATTTAAAGAAACACACACAATTCACAGCGCACGCATATTTCACGAATCGGATGCAATGTTCCATCGATAATTCAGAGGCGCGGAGAGATCCAAAGCTCACCGTCCCTCGTACGCCAGCCTGAACAAGCGTGAGCCTTGAGCATTCGGAAAGTTGTTGAGTTTTATACATTTCATTCTAAAAAAAATAAATTATTTATGAGGAAAAAAATAACAAAAAACAATGTGAAATGCTACTTAGCAGTCGAGAAATTATCCAAAATGGAATGCGTTAAATTTGTTCGGAATGCGCGTCTTAAATTTCGATGGTTTTTTGCAGAAACATCATAGACGACGGAACAAAAACATGAAAGATAACGTGCAATATTTTACTTTTTCAAGCAGCTAACACGTTATAGATCCATACGCGTATAGAATCCGCATTCCATACGCGTATTTATTTGCCAAAGATCACCGCATTTTGGTTAAAGCGACTAACTAAAGCTCAGAAATAAAGTACAGTGTTTTTTTATATCTATAACGGCGTCGAAATGCATCTCACAACTCTGGATTCTTGATGCAACGAGGGTGGTACATTGGCACGTTCAAAAAAACGGCCGAATCGCTTCGCCTTGCCGATTTGGTCAATTCTATTGATAAATCGTCACATCTGCAGTTTTCACCATAAAAAAGAGAGAAAGGTAAAATTGGCTACGACTTGCATGCAGGACAACACTTGTTTTTTTGTGTGCAATGCGACGCATATTGTATTTGCGGCTATTCTTATGAAGTCCAGCGTGGCCAATGTGTAAAAGGTAACATTCATAGACGCTATGTGTTCTGTTTCAAAAGCGACTGTCTTTCACTTGCACAGAGATCTATTTAAAGCGTATGCAATTAACTTTCATTTGCACATATTAAATTAGTTAATTACAATATTCGTTTGCAATAACTCAAATCCTGTGTATAGAGGGGATATGGTTTAAGGGCAGTGCAATACGAAACGCAATATGATGCTCCCGAGGTCAGTTCATGACATCATAACGTTATGGAATTACTTTTAATGTATTTCGGAAAAAGCGGTTTTGGCTTAAGCATTTTTACGAATTAATATCGTTTATTTGGTTAGAAATAAAGCACCACATTTATGGAAGCTCGTACTATATGGTTCAGCACCCTGTCGCTATCCATGGTGCTGACGTTACGTAATCAGCATCGCTGCTAAAGCCACGCCTTACTATCCAACTATTAAACTAATATTAGATAACAAAAACACACATTTTAAATAATAGCAAACATGTTTATGCGTAACATTGCCTTTTACGTCTTCTTGTAAAATTCATCCACCCCCCCCCCACCCCGCGTCGCCCTAAGCCCCGATGTGAAAACGTTTGCAAAACGAATGTCACATTGCAAAGCTGTCAACGCGCGGAGGCAAATTGTCCGTGGTCGCAACGTTGGCTGTGCGCTACACAATCTGTCGACATCCGACACCGTATCTGAGCGCATGCTTCATTCTCCACAAACAGACATCTTTAAGTGCACATTTATATATATAAAAAACACACAAATGCTCGATTCTTGTTGTTACGTAGAAGCTGGAGGAGCTCCGCAAATTGCACACGACGAGCTGTTGAGCCAAGATCATGCGAGAAGCGATATAAAGTATATAGTCACAATCAGTGCACACAACGTTTATACAAGCGCTTTGAGACGTGGCTTACGCGACTCGCATAGATGCTGGGTGATGACCACCTTTAGAGATTAAGCGTTAACCTAATAAAACACACAGATGACTGCATGAATCAACGCGCGACTGCCTTAATGCACGCAAGTGCAACGTATACTTGGCTGCGGACGAGATTGTCCAAACTTATTATCGTAGAAATCAGGGTGGGTAAATAAATGTGGTCGGGCGTTTCCCATGATTCTTACCTCGACTGCGCAGAACCTCGACCACAGGAACCGATCAGTTGTTGTCAGAGCAGCTCATGACTTGCTGCTTATTCACTTCAAACGAGAAGCACGCGATCGATTTCCGAATCAGCAATCACACGCGTTTTACCCCAATCCTAAAACATTCCGTAAGTGTCGGCAGATTTTATTTATTTGTATTTTTTCATTTAGTTTTCTTTATTTCAACGAAGGGGGCTCCAGGCTACGCGGGGCTGTCTTCCCTCAAAAGAAGCTCATAGAAGGAGGGGAAGGCAGAGGAGGGGGTGGCGGCACTGCAGGAGGAGGAGGGAGAGGAGGAGGAGGTGCGGTGATGTGGGTGGGCGTGCAGGACGACGAGTTGAGAGCCTCTGCCCGCATGTTGAGCGCCACGCTTCCGCACGCACATTTGGCGGTCGGAATGAGAATTTGACGGCGAACAGCGCGGCGCGATCTACAGGTTGACGAGCGGCGTTACGGCTGCGGGTCGCGCTGCAACAACCACGAGTAACGACAAAGCCAGGGACGTCCTCGAGCTATAATGCGCACCAAGTATCGCGCACAGATACATTATGGCACGTACTATTACGTAATTTAGATCGCTGTGCTTTCATTCACCAAGCGATCGGGCGTCCCAACACCGATTCCTAAAACGGGCGTGGTGGTGGTGCGCGCGTTCTCTATCGGGGGGTTGGTGGATCACACAAAGATCATTGTATACGCGGCAAGCTACCTGCCTCCAGGTGCCCCGTAGAAGACAGTACGACCAGCGGAGGGCAGACCTATTTGTTTGGATTTCGGGGCGTTCCCCCCCCCCCCCCTTGGAGCCGATGGTGAGGCTTTCCTGGATAGGTGAATATTTGTATTCTAAGCGTAACCATGAACTTTTTCCCTACCCGACACGGTTAGAGATTATTACGTGTTTTTCTTTCAATTCTCACGCATTGGCGGTTCGCATTTTGAAAGCCGTTTATAGTTCATTATTAAATACATGTATTGTAATGAAGAACGTATTAATAGTCTCACATTTTCCGACTATATAGTTTAACCAATGAAAATTTACCACAAGGAATGGTTCTTCAATTTAACACAAGTGCAACGGCTTCGTTCCAGCGTTATTCAATCCACACGTTCTCCCAGCTTTATACAACATAAATAACGGTTAGTGTTTGCAATAAGTACCACGATTATGATATTAAGTTTAATCGGTCATTATCTGCCGTCTCTAAACACCATCGGAAGCCACAGTTGCTTAAATGGCACTTTGGCGACTGGCCATAATTTTAGCTCAGGCCAGTTTTACACACACACACTGGATACCATTTGCACTGGATTACTACATTAGTGCTGCTATTCACACGCCGAACGACAGCGATGGGACTAAATATAAGAAGAAAGTGTAAATGTTTTCTTTATACACCACCCATAACACGATGCTCTCTACTCTTGCCAATTACATCAGAGGCCAAGTACCTAATCGCCCCTGGGTTACTCGATTATGTACAACATTCCCAGTCGACGGTGTAATTTGGATGCACATTAAGGATTGAGTACAGAAACACGCCGCGTGATCAACGTTGCGCAACTGTTATTTTAAAGCACTCACACTCTGATAGAAAGAAGTAATGATTGAAGGCAACGCGGCTATCTATATAAATGTTTAACACGCAGCGTTGTCGCAGTCGCTTGCATCCCAAAGTGAGGATGTCCGGCTTTGGTTGCGCCTTTGTAGAAATCCTTTTCCCGATATTTCGCCATATATTCCTTCCTTTCCTATAGGAGGGTGAAACTTAGCTACATTTCGCGCGTGTATTTTCGAGGTATTTAATGGCATTCAATCGGAGTCGCGGGCAGTGCTGGATCGTGGGATTGATGGTCTATCTCTGGTGACCGCAGCAGTCACATTGCGGATTGTTTTTCATTTTCCTTTCATGAAGGAGGTGACCACGTCTGCCGTGATCCAGCAACGTTACCTTCTCTCTTGAAGCTGCCATTATTGGATGGTTATATAACGCTGTGTTGATGTAGCCAAAACAATCGTAACACTATTCTTGGTTCTTTCGGTAAAGTCACGTAGAAGGGAAACAATAAATAATTAAATAAAAAATATAAATATATAAAACAATAAAATTCTCACAACTTTTCGACTGCAACACAAGCAATCATGATGATGATTGCTTGATGATGATTGCTTGTGTTGCAGTCGAAACGTCGTGAGAATTTTATTGTTCTATATATATTGAATTATTATTTTATTGTTTCCCTTCTACGTGACTTTACCGAAAGCACCAAGAATATGAATCCCTGCAGTCACGACAGCTTTAAAGCAAAATTTAATCGTAACACTCTTTAAGAAGTGGCGAGCCAGTTCACACGCAGTTAATTCCCACAACCGACCCCGTCCCAACTACGAGCAACAACGAGGCACGCCGGCACGTCTCATATCGAGTTGATGCTCAGTCTGACGACGTCATAGAAAAAAAACGTATAAAGTAGCAATTTTACGCATATCTCAATTGCAAAATCGAATGAGAAAATTATTCGCAACCAAATGAGACAAAGGCATGGCCGTGCTATGTAACTGTGCACTAACCAAGTTACTTTGGGAGGAGAAAAATGCCAATGGGCCTCAAATGGTTAAAGGTCATCGGGAACAAATAATTATCGGCATTAACAGTGCGTTGAGGTTGCCAAAATTCGTGAACTGTGACTCCCTTCACGTCTCCCATGACGGAACAGCGATTTTGTCTTCCAAAACACAATGCACTTTTAATTAAGCGCCGTCGTCACGGTACACTGTCATTCTTTACATACCACATGTTTGTGTTTAGTGACGCGTGTCAATCCACTGCTGGATTAAAGGTCTCTCCTCGTCATGTCGGCTCTGTGAGATTTCTCTTTGTTTGTTTGTTTGTAGGCATACTTCACCTCATCGAGGTGCTTTCTACAGCTCACTCGTGGGAGGTTCTTTCTCCAGCAGCGGCATTCGCGTGCAGTTGCAGGGCTGCACCTTTGCCAACCACCTTAGCGTTTTCTGTGCCATTAAGTCGATGTGTAATACAATGCACTTCGCGAATTCACGTCATATGCATCCTGTACCAAAACTATATGTAATAAATAAAAAGGGCATGAAAATTCACGTCATTTCCTCTCCATAAACCCCACTTGATGTTAAAACCGGCGCTTATAGCACGCTTCCTCAAAAGCGCCCCATTCCGTATTCAGCGACGATATGCAGATAAATTTGCCATCGCTGGAAATCTATTTGCTCAGCCATAAACCATATACACGTTTACATCAAGTCAAGAACACACAAATACACATACGCGCGCGCTCACCCTCTTTCACACAGACCACTGACGATGACGTGGGTGTAAATAAATCGGGGACAGACAACTTAACGATTTGATAAATAAAATATTTAAAAAAATGGATGGGACAATTGACATATGCATAGGCCTACCGCCTAAAGCACACGGGCACCGACATTTCGCGTTAAGGGTATGCAACTGCTCCAGCGATCACGGACTGCAAAGCGAATCTGCGCGAGACGGGGGCAGAACAACGATGTCCAATAAACATTAAAAAAAACTTACAGTGGCTGTTCAATTCATAGAGTCTGGTCGTGAGCCATTGTGATACAGGATAAATTAAAACTAAATTTTCATTTTTATTTATCCTTACAGTGGCTGTTCATTTCATAGAGTCTGGTCGTGAGCCATTGGGATACAGGATAAATGAAAACTAAATGTTAGTTTCCATTTATTTATTTATTTTACCTACGTGACTTTACCGAAAAAACCAAAGAGTATAAATCCTTGCAGTCACGAAAGCTTCAAATCTAGAATTGTGATACAGGAGTTGCTGTAGCGATAAGCTGCGCGTCACGTGCTCAGGTCTATTTCACACGTGCGCTTGTTTTTACATCATCCGGTAGGCGCCCAGGCACTCTTGTGCATGCAGGCGGGCAAAGGCGAAGCCCTGCAATAACCTGTTAATATCATTGCTGGCAGAAGAGCCTCCACTTTAGATGGAACTCTCGAGCCATTTAGCGACCTATTCTTCCACGTTATCCGGACGCCCACGAAGAGGTTGGAGTACCCACACGCGACCTGGCGATCGACTCTGGTGTACTACCCATTGATGCTACTGGGCGGGACAAAGGTGGCGAGAAATAAAAAGGAACTCGCTCATTGTTTAAACTGCAGCAGCGGGAGATCGAACCGGCGACCTCCGGATCACAAACCCAGTGTGTTAACCAATCACACCATGGTAGCATCACACGCAGGTTAAGTGGCCGATAAATTCGTCACCATAGGACGTTGCCTGCACAGCGCTTCGACAGTACGTACAAATACTTACTTTAGAATAGATTTTATCCGGCAAGCCTCACCGAGCAAGAAGCCTTTTTTTAAGGAGGGTCCCGAATTGTGACGTTAGGCCAATTCCATTCATGTTCGGCTTTACGTCCAGGTGAATCCACTGAGGGCACACTCAAACATCCGCACAGATAGATCGGCGAGCATATGGCTCGACTACCGCCATCTGGCCACACCTTAGCCCAAGCCTACGACTTATTGAAGCACTCTCTCATCCAAGCTCTAACGAAACTCAGATCTGCTTCGCTTCCGAGATACGACGCCGACACGCGCATCAAGTCCCATCTGGTTCTGGCAGTGCAAATGAGAAGTTGGAGAGATGCATTTAAGTATTCCAACCGGGTTTGAGAGGTGACTGCGATTTAATGTTGCTCCTTTAAGTCTCCGCAAGCTCGGCAAATGCTGCGTATTGCACAAGTCATACGTCAATGTTAACACACGTCGTGTTATTTGTAGCATGAGGCGCTATCGCGTCGGACTAAAGATGGAACGAGGCTCGTGACTGCGAGGATTTACTGGAGTAAAGAAAAGGAGCATAAACGTGGTCCCGTCAAACTGCCGGATAAAGATTCCTCACCACCCACCACCCCACTCCCGCACGCCGTCGCCATCCTTCAACAGCGCGATACCATCATCCATCTCGCACTCCGAACTGCACGCGAGCTCGTCCCGTCGCTTCCCGCGGCCCTCGTGTCCTCCTCGGCCACCTTCTCGCTTGACTACCATCCTCCCCGTCACGGGTCTCCCCCATCCGTCGTCATCCTTTCTAGCCGTGCCCTGCCCCAGCCCACTCACGCACCGTCATTTGCATGCGCTCCCGATTCGCATCGCTTAAAAGGGGGTGCGCCACGGTGGCTGGGAGATGTTCACTTCCTCGCCCTGGTATTCAGCAGGTCGTTGGTTCGATCCCGACCCTGACGACGCCTGCTGCTGAATATTTGGAGTTTGCGTGTCTCTCTCTCTCCGTGGTCGCGTGGATTTTTACCCGGGTCCTACGGTTTTTTCCCCTCCACGTTTAGAAACGTGCGTTTAGAGTATTTGGCTGCTAAAAATTTCCTCAAGATGAGCCACTTTGTTGAGCTATCATTTGTGGCCAGGTTGCTTCTGAAAATGAGATATATAGCTCAGTGGGACTTACCTGGTAAAATAAAAATGTTGTTGAAAATAGTTTAGCTCATTCCGAGATGCATTTTTTTTCTTCCAAAAATGTGTTTCCAACAACAAAGAAGCGCATTTCTCCTTCAAGAACGGTTATATTGTTAGTAATTTAACAAGCGATAATTCAAGTATAGGCTTGGTCTTGTCGACTATGGTATAGATGATGTTTGTAGCGGCCAATACAGTTATAGAATAATGGTGGATCTTCTAGCGCCTATGGTGCGGCATTGACCTCGATGCTGAGACGGTACCTTCAGCCTCATC